TGTCAATGCAACCCGTTTCTGTAGAGATTGTGGGTGGGTGAATGAATGGATAAGCAGAGGTGGGAATGTAGGGGGGTGGGAATACCACTGAGAGAAGGAGAGAGGAGAGAGGGGGAGGGAAGAGAAGGAATCAGGACCCACAGAATTCAGAAACTGGAAGGTCATTTTGGCCAAGATGGGCTCGGGAAGAGAATGTTGGGTTGTTAAGAGGGTCTTCCAGTCAGACAGGAAAAGATCAGCACAGCAAAACAAAGTTTTATTGTATTCTGTTAAATCACGTTCCTGTGAGGTTGCCACGGGTCCCAGCTCCTGTGTCCAGTTTCACTTACGTTAATGTTTTACAACATCAAGTTTAAGATAAAAACCTGATACTCGTGGGGGGTGACTGAAAGGCTCACCAGCACTGATAAAAGCATCAAACTTGGCTAGGCTTCAGATCCTGGCGTGTGAAGTGTAGGTAGTACTGGGTGACGACTGGTTTTTTAAACAATCCGAATACCAGACTAAAGCTCTGCAAGTGAGTGTTAACGTCTGGAAAATACCCCAATGACCTGAACGCTTCTCTGCTCTCAGGGCTGTTACTGTTCATTCCTGGAACCCCTCCTTGGGAACTGCCAAGGGGGTCAGAGCTTTGCCCTTTAAGGATGAAGACTGGAAAAAAAAAAAAAAAAACCACCAAAAAAACACAACAAAAGACATTGTGTTTAACAATTAAAATTCCATGGAAATTATGTGTGCTATCAAGCGTTCTGAGGTATCTTTCCAACTATATGTTCTTGTTTCTCTGTAGTTAAATGTAAAATTTAGGTTTACCTTCAAAATGTATTGCATTTAATTTGTGATGGTCAGAACTAATTTTAAATAAGTAAATCCAAGTAAATTTCTACTATAAAAGAAAAGTGGTTTGTTTTTTTTTAAAAAAAAGTATATTTTATTGACTTTTTACAGAGAGGAAGAGAGAGGGATAGAGTTAGAAACATGGATGAGAGAGAGAATCATCGATCAGCTGCCTCTTGCACCCCCCCCCACTGGGGATGTGCCCACAACCAAGGTACATGCCCTTGACCGGAATCGAACCCGGGACCTTTCAGTCCTCAGGCCTGAATGTGTGTTTTCCTTTTATTTTTCAAATGGACGATCAGAAAGTAACTTCAAATATGTATTTTTCAACCACAGAAGAAAGTGAGTCCTGCTTTGTCCAAGCCAAACCCCTTACACTGGGAAGAGAATCTGTTGATGACAAGGCACAAAAGGAAAGCCTTCCGCCATTGGAGAAGCTCAGGATTTCAGCAGCGTCTGTAGCTAATGGCGTTCAATCCCTTCATGATCAGCCCCCAGCAAAGGACACGGCAGACCCTCCGGGATCCACGGAAAAGATCCAGCCTCCAGAGGGACCCAAGGAGCCTGGGCCGCTTCAGCAGGATGGCAAAGAGGAGGCTCCAGGAGCAGGAGAAAAGAAAGAGGTGGAAGCGGTGACAGGGGCCCGGCGCTTAGAAGGAAATGCCGGGACAGAGCCTTTGGAAACAGAAGCCAGGCCTCAGCCTCTGAGGACAGTCGGCGAGAGGGACTCCCCTGGAGCTGCAGGAGGCACCGAGACTCCACCAGCTGCCAGAGAGACGGAACCTCGAAGAAGAGCTGGCAAAACCCCACCCCTGGAAGCAGGCAGAGAGACACGACCTCCAAACACACCCCAACTCCTGGACACAGTTCCCCAGGAGAGGGAATCTCCAGAGATGTTGGAAGGAAGTCAGCCTGTTGAAACAGCTGAGGAACATCAGCTTCAAGAAACACTGGGGAGAGATGAGCGATCCCAGCTTCTAGAATCAGTGTCCAGAGTGGAAGGGCTTCTGGAAATAGCGGAAGGCAGGCAGCTTGTGGAAACAGCTGTAAAGAGTGATTTGGTTCACAAAACTGAAGGTCTGGTGAACAGGGACCAGATTCAATCTGAAGGAACAGTCGGAAGCATGGAGCATCCAGCAGGAACTCTGGAAACGGGGCCAAACATGGAAGTGGTCAGGAAAATTCACACCAAAAAGGAGGGCCAAAACCTTGAAGGTAAGAGATGCTGTTCAAGGTTCAGAATGCTTAGATGGGTTTCATAAGAGGTCATCTCTGGGGGGAGGGAAGAGGGAGAAAGTGGCTTGTACATACACTGAAGTATCTATTACAGGTGGTTGAAATTCGTTTGACCCAAATCAAAAACGTTTCCATATCTGGAAAACAGGCATTTGGCTTTCCACCAAAATGTTCTAAAGCACATTCTGTGTCCAAATTTTTTAACCTAGAGTTTCATTGTTGAATAGAACCGAATATTGAAGCCAACATGTTAACATTTCTGGACTTACCCATGTTTGCTCTTCATCGGGTCCCATGTGTGGTGTGAGGTTCCAAAATAAAGATGAATAGGTGGTTAGTGGAGGAATTGACCTCCTCATGAAAGAACACACAAATAATGGATCTTAGAGTGTAATTTTTATCTTTGCCAGTTTTATCCTTAGAAAATTACTCTGCCCTTGTCCTCCTTTTTTATTTTTATTCATTTCAGAGAGGAAGGAAGAGAGAGGGGGAGAGAGAGAGAGAGAAACAGCAATGATGAGAGAATCACTGATCAGCTGCCTCCTGCACGCCCCTTACTGGGGATTGAACCTGCAGCATGGGCATGTGCCCCTGACCGGAATCGAACCCAGTACCCTTCAGTCCGCAGGCCAACGCTCTATCCACTGAGCCAAACAGCGAGGGCTCCTCCTTTCCTCTTTTTACCTTTAAGAGAATACTAGAGGAAAATGTATTGTTCTGGCATATGGTGCTTTTTAAGTGTATCTTACCAGAGAAAAATAAATGGTGCCTATACTATACTTTATTGGGATTATTATAAAAAATTACATTTCTTCTGGGGCATGATTTACATTTTGGCTAATTTTACCTTCACATTATAATTAAGTGAAGCATTTATTCCTCTTTCTTAATTCATTTATTAACACAGTGTTTTTTATGCTTAATCATATGCAAGGCGCTAGGGTGCAGAAGGAGTAAGAGCTGGCTCCTGTTCTCCAGAGGGTCACAGTCTAGTGGGAAGAAGGCAGAACAAATCACCACCATCTATTGAGATGAGCACTTGGATGAAGATATGTAAAAGTACTCTGGTAGTAACAAGGAAGGAACAAGAAAAAGCATGTGTTTGTTAGACCAGGGTTGGCAAAGTCAAGTCTTTAGGGCCTAGGATAATGAGAGGGCACTGAAGGGTCCAGGGTAAAATTCCTATTGGGGCATGTGCAGCAGGCAACCCATCGATGTATCCCTCTCACATCGATGTTTTTCTCTCTCTCCCTCCCTCTCCTCCACTCTCTCTCTAAAAAAAATCAATGGATAAAATATTCTTGGGTGAGGATTAACAACAACATCAAAAATCTGTCCCCATTGGAAACCAGCCGTGGGTACGTTATCGTTAAGGCTAAATAAGCATCTCTTAATATCTCCTTTGGTTACTTTTCCAGGTGAGACAGAAGAGGTTGAAACAGAGATGGAGAAGAGCTGAAACAAAAGAAGACGAAACAGGAGAAGCTGTGGACCTTTCAGCAGCCACATAGATAGGTATGGTGACAGAAGGGTGAATGGACACAGGGCGTCCTAACAGAGGACAGAAAAATGGAGGGAAGCCTGTGGTTACAGATCTCCCCTTCGTGACAATAGCCAGAGCCAACAACAACCAGGGCTTATGACCACTGAAGAGTTTGAGGGTGCTTTCTTCCTTGTGGCAATGGGTCCGTTCAGTATAGGAAATGAGACCCCAAAATGAAAGTATAAACCTTTCTGGTATAGGTGGCTGGAGGAGGGAGTTAGCAGATTTTAGGGAGCTCAGGATAATAACGTGACACAGTTATAATTTCTACGGGATAAGAATGAACAACAAAGCGATGCAACCTACACCTAGGATGTCTTTCCCAGCACGGAATGGAAGGCAAGTAGAAACCTTACAAAGTATGTCATCTAATTACCTTCTCCACTCAAGTCTGTCTGCTACTGGAGAGCCTCATTCATCATGTTATGTTAAAGATGTCAACGAAATCCTTGTCAAAGGAATTCAAACTCTGGTGCTGCTGCGAGATGAGGCGTTTTCACAGGGAAAGGCTACGCATCTTCCACGTGCCATTTTGAATCAAGTGTAGATTTTACACTAATGTGAGGTATTCCATCTGATGTTACCCTTTTGACTGACATTAAAGGTGTGCTAAATTAACTGACTTCTTATTATTTTTTAAAACATATTTTATTGATTTGTTTACAGAAAGGAAAGGAGAGGGAGAGAGAGTTAGAAACATCAATGAGAGAGAAACATCAATCAGCTGCCTCCCGCCCACCCCCTACTGGGGATGTGTCTGCAAGCAAGGCACATGTCCTTGACTGGAATCGAACCCAGGACCCTTCAGTCCAGAGGCCTATGCTCTATCCACTGAGCCAAACCGGTTTCGGCAATAGTTGGCATTTTAACTTCATGGTCCCATATCTTTAATCAGGTAATGTGCTCTAATGTACAAATTAAACTGTTAAAAAAAAAAAATAAGTGAACAGAATCACACCATGGAAAATCTGCATGAATACTTTATTTCCATTAGAAAAATATTTGCTTTTTAGAATTTTGGTCCACTTTCTTCTCCTTTACGTCTACCATTCAAACTTCAATTTTTAATTTTACTCAAGTAAGAGCAAAATCAGATAGCTGACATGAGAATTAAACATTTCACGTTAAATTAAGAGGATTTAACTGAATTAGCAAATACTCTTGTTTCTCACGAGTGTGCATCAATGAAATTTATATCACTAACTGGATTCATCACCTCATTCTCAATTCACGTTCAATTGCCCTCATTATATGGTATTTCCGTAACACTCCAGATATTTCAGTCAGCCTTAGACTTTCCAACATGGGCTGTAAAAATTAAGGCGTTAATTCACACACATGATTAACGTTCCAGACGCGGTAACCCCGGGCCCACTCAGAGTCATGCGAGAGGGCCTTGGACGGCCACGGCTTCGATCTCCACGCGGCCTCCCTGTGAGGAAGAGGAGGGAGCAACGTGAAGGTCACTGTTTACACGTCAGGAGAGCCCCAGAAGGCCTCCTAAAAACACCCAGCAACACAGCCTTCTTCACATTAAACGTTTCTGACAAAACCGGTTTGGCTCACTGGATAGAGCGTCGGTCTGCGGACTGAAAGGTCCCAGGTTCAATTCCGGTCAAGGGCATGTACCTTGGTTGCAGGCACATCCCCAGCAAGAGGCAGCTGATGGATGATTCTCTCTCATTGATGTTTCTAACTCTCTATCCCTCTCTCTCCCTCTCTAAAAAATCAATAAAATATATTTTTAAAAAAACCCACAAAACATTAAACTTTTTGTTGTTGTTGTTAAATATGGTTTTATTGATCTTTAGAGAGAGAGGAAGGGAGATAGATAGAAACATCGATGAGAGAGAAACACCATCCCTTGGCTGCCTCCCACATGCACCCCTACTGGGGATGGAGCCTGCAAACCGCGCACATGCGCTGACCGAGAATCGAACCGGTGACCTATTGGTTCGTAGGTCAACACTCAACCGCTGAGCTGCCCCAGCCGGGCTGACATTAAACTTTTCCCAGAAGGCAAGGAGAGGGAAACGTTCCCTATGAGCCTCTGCTAGGCCGGGCTGCCATGCTGGTCATGTTGGTGTGCGTTAGCTCGTGTGGCTGGTATAGCAGCTGTCAGACCGGACTCTCTCCTCCGTTCAGAGGCTGACGCCCTAATGTTGAGAGAGGTTATTCAGCCGGTCCCAGGACACATGGCTAACACATGGTCCAGGTTCAAACCATGTCTGTGACTCCACGTTCAGAGCGCCTGCTGCTATACCCATTACCTTAATGAGTCTGGCAGCCTGATCATTGCAAATAACAACCCATTAAAGTAAAACAGCCTCTCACAAACCTGGCTCCATGTGCATAGTCTCTAACAATGAAACACGATTGCTGCCGTTTTACTTTTTCTCACAATGTAAGTGCTCTGATTGTGCCGTATTCATGTGTGGCCTTAATTTTTAACTTCCTGACTTTTTAAGACTAATTTTTTAATTTTCTTAAATCTCTTAATCGCCCCTACCCCCTCAGCATGCAATATTGAGTGTTTCCTTTGAGACCGAAAGTCCCTGGAAAGCTGGACCTGCTGCTGCTTTTAAAAGAAGTCTCCTGCTACCACAGTGCTTAGCTTGCTCTCTCCAGAAAGCGATGCAGAAATGTAAAATCGTGTACGTTAGACACCTTAAAAAGCGTACTTACCCTGGGCAAAGCGGCAACCTGGTAAGCAGCTCTCGCAGGAAAATTGCTCTTGAAATCTAAATGGAACAGAATTCCATTTTAGCTGCCAGCTACTGTACTGGTACCCAGCACCGAGTGATCTAAACTTCGGAGATCTAAACACGGGTTTCTCGGTTCTTAGGTATGTGCAACACTAGACAGAGAAGCTCACACTCATGCTTGTTTGGAAAAATATTTTGCCACGTGAGTCCTATGTTATATTTTAATACTTTTAAAAATGCCTTTGCTTTTGGGAGGAAAAGTGAAAATACGTGCTCCGATACTTTGATCTTATTTAAGGTGACCAGACGTCCCGATTTTTAACAATTTTTCCTATGGCGTTTTAAAAAAAGTCCCATTTTTTTTTTTTTAGAGAATCGGGACTTTTTTAAAACGCCACAGGAAAAATTGTTCAAAAGCGGGACTGTCCCGCCAAAAGCGGGACGTCTGGTCACCTTACTCTAGTCATTTATTCGGGACAGAGTACGCAATGATGCTTTTTCCAAGTTACACCTTAGTCTCATCTCACCTGCTGGCAGGGACACCCATTTTCTCCACTAAAGACAACAATGTTAATGGATAGGTAACCTTTACTAAGTGCTTACAACACACTGGCATCTGTTCTAATGTGGAGAACAGATTACAACGTCATACAACGTTTACATGTTGTATTAATTCACTTAAGCATTAATTCACTAGGTTTTATCCCTATTTTGTATATGAGGAAACCAAAGCAGAGGAACGTTAACTAAACAGCTGATGATTCCGAGAGCTAAAAAAAGAGATGGTGGCCAGACCTTATCACAGCAATCATAAATACAATCTCTGTTAAAAAGCCTGAGAAGGGTAACAAAATTAAGCTTTAGGAAAATGGATTGATAGAGCTGTCGTATATTATTCTAGGGAATAGAATATAAATGTCTTGGATTTTTTTCATGGAGGCACACTATATGTGTCCAATCAGACTATCTGTTCTTTTAGGACAAGCTGTATGATCATTTTTATTTTTTTTTTTAGCTTCTCCTCTCACTCTTAATTCATAATGCACACTCATAAAAGCTAATGCATTCATTTCTATTTAAAATGGCAATAAAGCCGAATTACTTACACTGTTTGTAGATGTCATTGACAGTACTGAAGTCATTTATGTCAGCCAGCAGCACAGTTGTTTTGACCACTAGAAGATACATATATTGTCATGAGGTTAGCTTTTTGGTCTAATTACTTAAAAAACAGTGTGTAGTTCTATGACTGTCTTGATTAAAATGGGACTGAAGTTAACACTATTTTAATAAGTAACAAGGATATGGCGTGACCTATTACTGGATGCCACATGTAAAGAAACACCAAAACCAGCAAAGAAACACCAAACGGAAACAGGAGTAATGCCACGTTGCTCACCGTTACTGAAGTCGCAGCCTGCCGCTTTCAGGATCTCGCCCATGTTGTTAAGAGCCTGTGAACCGAGGCGAGAAGGCCGAAGGCACGGATGTTACATTAAAGCTGAAATTCCGTCCAGTCAATCAGCTCTCGCTAAGACTTCCTTAAACAGCTTGCGTTGCAGAAAAATGCCCCCCTTTTAGGAAATTATACTCTTTCTAGGCCCCCTCTAAATAAATCACACAGGATCCATACAACTAAATTAATATGAAAAGGTCAACATGAAGAGTTACATGATGAAATAAAACCAAGATGCAGAATAGCATGCACACTAAGTTACTGTGTGTGTATGTGTGTGTGTGTGTGTGTGTGTGTGTGTGTGTGTCTATATGTACATTTATGATGGGGTAGGCATTGACTGTCTGTGGAAGGACATACTAATATAAAGAACAGTAATGGCCGAAACCGGTTTGGCTCAACGGATAGAGTGTCAGCTTGCAGACTGAAAGGTCTCAGGCTCGGTTGTGCCTGGGTTGCGGGCACATCCCCAGTAGCGGGTGTGCAAGAGGCAGCTGACCGATGATTCTATTTCATCAATGTTTCTATCTAGCCCTCTCTCTTCCTCTTTGTAAAAAATCAATAAAATATATATTAATAAAAAAAAAAAAAGAGAACAGTAATGAAGGAAACGTGGGCGAGGGGGGAATAAGGGTGGGGTACATCTTTTCACTGCATGTGCTTTATATAGCTTTTGAATTTTTTGCTTATCTATGTATTTCCTATTTAGATTATTTTTTAAAGAACAAAAAAAAATATCATCAAATATTATAAAGTGACTGTAGAGAGGAAGAACGAATTGGCAAAACAATAAGTTTTTTTTTAATAATGATGTTAACCAGAGTGCCAAACATATATCATTTACTAATACTCATTGATCTTTTTGAGATAAAGGAAAATAACTCTTCAAAATAAAATATTACTTAAAAAACATGTTTTAATGCCTGTTAGCTCATACTCATGGTATCAAAGTGACAGAGCATAGGAACCCCAGAAATGACTTGTGTTAGCTTACTGAGCTTCACACATTCTAGCACTGAAAAAGCGACTTTTTATTCACAAAAGGAGATCATGACTCCTCCCATTTCAAGCAGATCATTCAATTGGAGGAAGGCTAAGAAGTGAGTCACTTACAAGAATTACTTAACTGCCCAGCCAGTGTGGTTCAGTGGTTGAGCATCAACCTATGAACCGGGAGGCTGTGGTTTGATTCCAGCTTGGGACACATGCCTGGGGTTGCGGGCTCGATCCCCAGTGGAAGGCATGCAGGAGGCAGCCGTCAATGATGATTCTCTTTCCTCATTGATGTTTCTATTCTCTCTCCCTCTCCTTTCCTTTCTGAAATGGATAAAACTATATTTTTTTAAAATTAAAAAGGTAGACCAGTTTAGAAAGCTTTAAAAAAAAAAAATCATTTAACTGGGTCCTTATGGATATTACAAATGGCTCAGTGAATGCATTAAATTATAATTTGATTCTACTTATTGGATTAGAATGTATTCCCCAGTATTACTTAGAAAACATACTGCATGTAATCTTTGATATTTTTCTCTTACTAACAAATGCTGACTTTTACCCTGTGGTGGTGAGGTGGTTTATGTGGGTCAGTGACCCTGATTAAAAAAATTTCCCAATCCTCATGGAAGTGGCAAGGTGCTGATTTCAACAATTCAGGAGCCCCCACCCCGTTTTATTAAAATATAATTGACATATAACATTGTACTAGTTGTAGGTGTATAACATGATAATTTAATAGAGGTATTATTGTGAAATGATTACCAAAATAAGTCTATTTAACAGCCAGTAATTTAGATCTAAAGTCACTTTGGAAGGAATAATCTTTTTGTTTGTATGTTTGTTTTATTGGTTGGTTGTTAAATGATTCATTAAATTTCCAACTTTTGCCTTGACCCGGGTAGCTCAATAGGGTAAGGTTGCAGGTTTAATCCCCGGTCAGGTCACATACAAGAATCAACGAATAAACGCATAAACAAGTGGAACAGCAAATAGATGTTTCTGCCCCCCCCCCTTTTCTCTTTCTAAAATCAATTTTAAAACATTAATTCTTCCCCCTAACTTTCTCCTGACATGCAGTTGTCTTAAATTAATCAGTAAGTAACTTAAAAAGCATTTATCGGGTCATTTATTTTAAAACAAATCAGCCCAGTGGGTTTTTAACACTCCTCACAATTAAAAAGCAAAGGGAAGGAAACGTCAAATGTGGAGAATGACCTACTTGTTTAGCTTCTTCTTTCACCCCTCCTGGCACAAGCTGCCCGCTGGCAGGGTCCATGCCCAGCTGTCCCGAGATGTAAAGGGTCCTGTCGACTAGCACCGCCTGACTGCGGGGAACAGAGAGAGAAAACAGAAACAGAAGATGCACGGCTGCAAGATCTCTTTGCTGGGACACGAGCACAAAATGTAAAATTAAAGAACTTCATTGAAACGGAAACCTTTTGCTTACTAAAATATGTCATCAGGAAAAGAAACACAAGTCTCGTTGAGAAGATACTTGTAAAAAATGGGCAAATGAGGTATAAGCAGTTTTTGTCCCGTTTTCATTTTTTTTTTTTAAATATATTTTATTGATTTTGTACAGAGAGGAAGGGAGAGAGATAGAGAGTTAGAAACATCGATGAGAGTCATCGATCAGCTGCCTCTTGCACACTCCCTACTGGGCATATGCCCGCAACCAAGGTACATGCCCTTGACCGGAATCGAACCCGGGACCCTTCAGTCCCCAAGCCGACGGCTCTATCCACTGAGCCAAACCGGTCTCGGCCCGTTTTCATTGTTGCTGCATATGGAGATATACCAGTTTTTCATGGATAAGGATTAAGGAAAATTTGCCACGCCATCTGTATTTACACAGAGTCTCATTTAAATGGAAAAATGTTGCCCTGATTGGTTTGGCTCAGTGGATAGAACGTCAGCCTTCGGACTGAAGGGTCCTGGGTTCAATTCTGGTCAAGGGCATAGACTTTGGTTGCGGGCACATCCCCAGTTAGGGGGCGTGAAGGAGGCAGCTGATCGATGTTTCTCTCTCATCGATGTTTCTAACTCTATTCTTCTCCCTTCCTCTCTGTAAAAAAATCAATAAAATATATTTTAGGGGGAAAAAAAATGGAAAAATGTTTTTAAAATACAGCAAAAAGGAAAAAGAAAGTAGGGCAAAACTCATGTGTCCTCTGATCTTGCTCTGAAGACTGAGTGTGCAGGGTGCAGTGATTTTCCTTGCTGCCAAGGTTCTTGTGAACAGAAGCCAGAGCCAGCGAAGCTGAGGAAGCCTCTGTGCCTGCCCAGCCAGGAAGTCTCTGGACAGCGGGCCCCGTTTTTGCTAAGACAGTGCCTTAATTTGTAAAAGGCTAGAACCTTCCCTAAATCTGGACTCACCCCAACACAAAAGCCTCGTTTTACAAAATCTTGTCAGCAGGATTAGGGGTAAGAGGATAGGAGGGGTCTTGGCGAAGCTCGATGACTCTGGATGGTTTGTGACCTGGAGCGGAACAATGAAGGCCTCTTTCAGGTGACATTCTCCTTCCTGTAGCCTCTCCAGTCAAGGCTTTAAAGGAATTGTTGCCCTAACCGGTTTGGCAACAATGCTCAGTAAATAGAGCATCGGCCTGTGGACTCAAGGGTCCCAGGTTCGATTCCGGTCAAGGGCACGTACCTTGGTTGTGGGCACATCCCCAGTGGGGGGGCGTGCAGGAGGCAGCTGATCGATGATTCTCTCTCATCGATGTTTATGATTCTCTCTCATCGATGTTTCTAACTCTATCCCTCTCCCTTCTTCTGTAAAAAAGCAATAATATATATATATATATATATATATATATATATATATATATATATATATTTAAAATTAATGAATTGTTATGTGAAAGTAATGCCATAACTGCATTCTGACGCTTCCTTGTGAAGCTAGTTTCTCCTCGTCCTTTCAGAGCGTGCTGACGCCACCAAGTATTGTTGTGCGAACCCATCCTGGAACCGGGAAAGACCACAGAGATCAAACAGCGAAACGAGGATTGTCATTAAACCGCCGGAGCGCCTGCTAACACACCCGGTTTACCGGCTGCTTTGGAGAAGGAAGGCGCTCTGAGGTCCTGTGAATCACTGCTTTCGCATCAGCATCAGAGACTGAGCCAACGGTCATGAAGAAGCCTCTCCAGTGTCTTCAGAGCCTCACTTTATTCGGATCACTGCCCTGTTAAGAGCTTCTCTTAAAAAATGGGAGGTCGGCCGGGACCAGTTTGGCTCAGTGGATAGAGCGTCGGCCTGCAGACTGAAAGGTCCCGGGTTCGATTCCGGTCAAGGGCATGTACCTTGGTTGCGGGCGCATCCCCAGTAGGGGGTGTGCAAGAGGCAGCTGATCGATGATTCTCTCTCATTGATGTTTCTAACTCTCTATCCCTCTCTCTTCCTCTCTGTGAAAAATCAATAAAATATATTTTTAAAAATGAGAGAATATAAAGTTGTTTTCTGTTGCAGATAAATCCACTGATTCTCCAGAGAACAAGCCCCAGGGTGCTGTGGCATTCGGATGCCACTCGCCGCTTACATAAAACTTGGTGGACCGGGGAGTTCTGAACGCCTGTAGCAGTCTACGGAATTGTTACAGCCACTGGTGTGTTAAAACCATTCTGTTCACTCCTCAGCTCTTTATTTAAGAGAAACAGCAGCACCCTTCTAACTGGTGTTTATTTTTGTGGAATGGATTTTAATTTTCTCTTACATCTAACATTCCTCCTGGCCTAAGCGTCCTTTGTAAATTGAGAGAGTTTAATGTTTAAAATAATGTGTTCGTTCATATAGAATTACCTTTGTTATCTTATTCTTAGCTTTTCCATGTCTTATGCCTTGATTCCCCCCTTTTCTGACTTCTGAAGTATTGATTTTTTTTTTTTTCTTCTTATTTCTTAAACTTCTGGTTCGGCAATAACATATTCTTTCTAATTTAGTATTACTCTTGCATTGTTACATGCTTATTTGACTTAAATTCTCACGTTCATCCAGCTTCCTCCGAGTAGTACGAGGATTTAGACTCTCGACTCAGCTCTCCCCTCCTGCTATTCTATGACTTTAGTTTTACTGCGTTTCCACTTAACCTCTTCCCGAGCCCCTGGACCCCAACTCTGTGTATTTTTAGTTTCTTTACAGTCAGGCTTATTTAGATTTACTTGCATAATTCTTTTTTGCACACACTCCTGATTGAGGTATATTTTTAAAAAGTGTTTTGTTCCCCCCCCCCCTCCCGCCTCCCAGCAGGGGCTTAACGAAAAAATTTTTGATTTTGTCTCTATTTGCCCTCACCTTTGAAATATAATTTAGCTAGGTATAGAATTAGAGGTTAGTTTTTTTTTGTTTTTTTTTTTTCACTTTGAAGAGTTCTCCATGGTCCCCTGCCTCCGTCATTGCTGGCGCGGTGTTTGCTGTCAGTGACATCTTGCCTTTCCCGGTAGTCTGTTTTCTCCCTGTCTGATGTGAAGGGTTTCTCTCTGCCTTTGGTGCGTTCTGCCAAAGGCCCCAGGACACACAGCAACTGATCACAAGCCTGTGATCAGTCTCAGGCATGTCCAGATTTCTCCCCGTGGCTCTTCCCAGGCTGCCGAGGGGTCTCTTCCCAGCACCTCCAACTTATACACAACTCAGGACCTCGGCTTTTATTTCTAAGTGGGATTTTAGAACCCCAGCTCCTAGGCCCTGTATCTAGGTCTCAAATCCTCATGGACTTTATACTTCAGCTCATTCTTTTGGCTCTGATTCAGTTTCTCCGTTTGTTCCTGGCACATGGGAATCTCCCTTTTCATCTTTTCAGATTCACCATTTACCAGGAGAAAAGCAAAAGGGCCTTGGAAACAAGAGTTCTTTTCTTTTTGAAGAGTTATTGTCTAGTGGAGTCAAAGACTTCCGAGACAATGAGGTTTCCAGAGTGCTATTGCGAGTGTTAGTTGAAGCGTATAATATGCCCACAGCTCGAACTTCTTACTGATGGCTTGTCTGCTTAGTATGCCCAGGGATTTCTTTCTTTAAAAAAAAATATACTTTATTGATTTTTTACAGAGAGGAAGGGAGAGGGATAGAGAGTTAGAAACATCGATGAGAGAGAGACATTGATCAGTGGTCTCCTGCACACCCTCTAACTGGGGATGTGCCCACAACCAAGGTACATGCCCTTGACCGGAATCAAACCTGGGACCTTCCAGTCCACAGGACGATGCTCTATCCACTGAGCCACACCGGTTTCGTCGTGCCTGGGGATTTCAAGGGCTCCTTTTTCATATATTCATAGCCCACATGGAGTGGCACTGAGCTCTCGTTTCCTGTTGAACTTGAGGAATCTGTCAAAGCCTGTGATCAGTCTCAGGCATGTCCAGATTTTATCTGACTAACTGTTCTAGAAGGAGTACGCGATGCTTCTGTAAGCTAATCTTTCTACAGAAAGCCTCTGCCGTGATGGAAGGCAGTGGTTCCCCCAGGGCGCCCCTGAGTCCTCAGAAGCCACGTAACCCAGGATCATACAGTTCACCCTGTTCCCATGCCGTTGGTTAGACATCCTCTCCGTCATGATGCTTAAGTTAAAGTTTGAGAAAGTGTTTGGATGTGGTGTGGTAATCTCTCAAGGTTCTGACCTGAAGTGTCCCTGCAATATGCTGACTGATTAGCTAATTAGTGACAACACCCCGTCCGTCCCAACGCCAGGGACTGAAAGTTCAACCTCTGAATTCCTCCTGGAGAAGACCCAGAATTTTCAAAAAGCGCACTCCATGCACAAAAACTCCTGTTTCCAAATGGTTATAAAAACGTGTCTTAATTCACTTTATCGGGATATGAATAGTTGGAATGTTTCTTTCTCCATAAAATATTGAAAATTCGTACCATCTCAGTGGCCTTGTATCATCTTTGGATACAGAAAAGCACAAGAGGCACAATGACCTGAAAAGTCCCCACACAATGAAGCTCTGGCTGGTGGCTTTTCCCTCGTCACACTTGCACGTTCTTATAGCGATGGCCTTCCTTTTAGCTTTACAGACAGCTGACCCCCGCCTTTGAGTCAACCAGGGATATTACTCTCATGCTTTCTTTCTTGAACAAAGTACATACTGGAAGAAGGTGTACGATCCGGGCTTTAAAATCCCCCTCCCCTTTAAAAAAAATGTTTTTATTGATTTCAGATAGAGGGAGAGGGAGAGAAGGAGAGAAACACCAATGATGAGAGGGAATTATTGATCGACTGCCTTTTGCATGCCCCTACCGGGGAGGAAATCTGGGCATGTGCCCGGACTGGGAACTGAACCTCGACCTCCTGGCTCATGGGTTGACATTCACTGAGTCACATCAGCCGGGATGTCATCTCCTTGTTTTTGTGAAGGGTCACTGCAGTGAAGCCACTGGGTGGTTGAGGGAGAAGGATCAGGGCAGAAGAAAAAAGATGACGGATTTTTACTTTTATTTTATACCTCCTTCACTATTCTTAATGTCTTCTCAAGTTACTATAATTCTCTTCATAAAAGAGGTGTGATCTGTGTCAAGAGAAAATATATTTTGATGTACTAAACAAACCTGAGGAGGTGAATTAACAGCATGACTAACTCAGCCATTGCTGCCAGTCACCTCCAGAGTATGAGAGAGAGAGAGAGAGAGAGAGAGAGAGAGAGAGAGAGAGAGAGAGAGAGAAGGAGAGAGGGAGAGATGGAGAGAGAGAGAGCCCAAGCCGTTTGGGCTCAGTGGATAGAGCATTGGCCTGCAGACTAAAGGCTCCCAGGTTCGATTCCGGCCAAGGGCACATGCATGGGTTTGATCCTCTCCAGTAGGGGATGTGCAGGAGGCAGTCAATCAATGATTCTCTCTCAACATTGATGTTTCTGTCTCTCTCTCCCTTCCTCTCTGAAATCAATTTTAAAAAATTAAAAAAAAAAAAAGGGAGAGAGACCTGATCACGTTACTTCCTCTTCAAAAACGTGATGGATCCTCATTGTATACCAAATAAAGTTTATACTCTTTAGTTGATCATTGAAAAATCATCACAATCCAGACTTGGCTAAAAGCTAATTTTTAAGCAAAAAGCAAAGCAAAAATTCAAAGTCTAACTCCTAACCAGTGTTTCCCAAAGTTCAAGTGAAAGTCATACATAAACACTGAGTCGCAGCAAGGAAATTGCTTTTTGATTCTCTTTTTTTATCTGAAAAATGAGGCTGTGAAGTAACTGTGCACACAAAGCACTTAGAATAGTGCCCGGTGCTGAGTAAGCATCAGTAAGTGTTAGCAATTAGGACGTCAGTCCTCTGATTACATGGAGAAACAACACTTTCAGAAATCACGTTCAAGAAACAGCACCTTTGCCCTCGCTGGTTTGGCTCAGTGGATAGAGCATTGGACTGAGGACTGAAGGGTCCCAGGTTTGATTCCTATAAGGGGCATGTACCTTGGTTGCAGGCACATCCCCAGTAGGAGTGTGCAGGAGGCAGCTGATAGATGTTTCTGACTCTCTATCCCTCTCCCTTCCTCTCTGTGAAAAATCAACAAAATATATTTAATTAAAAAAAAAAGAGCAGAGACCGGTTTGGCTCAACGGATAGAGCGTCGGCTTGGGGACCGAAGGGACCCGGGTTCGATTCTGGTCAAGGGCATGTACCTTGGTTGCGGGCACATCCCCAGTAGGGGGTGTACAAGAGGCAGCTGATCGATGACTCTCATCGATGTTTCTAGCTCTCTATCTCTCTCTCTTCCTCTCTGTACAAAATCAATAAAATATATAAAAAAAAAAAAAGAAAAGAAAAAAGAAACATCACTGTTACCAAAGACAGCTGGCCTTAGGTTCCGAGCCAACTGCAGGGTCCAGCTGGAATTTAATAACATGGTTGACTTACTCGAGTTTATTTTTTACTGTTACCTTCTATTGGCTTGTTTCCTACTTAGAGTTCTGTTGTCAAGTTTCCTTCTTAAATTAAGTAAGCCATCTTAAAGAGAAGTGTTAAGTAAATTATAATATAGGTGGTACACAGATTTGGCAAATGAATAAAAAAAAAAAGAGTAAAAATGGCACTTGGATTACTAAAACTTCCTCCAAACATCTTTATGCCATATATTCTTCTATCTCTATGCCTCAAGTAATTTCCTTTATCTGGAATGCCTGCCCTCCATTTCCTGTTGACGTCTTTAACCCAGTACACGTGATCCTTGAGCAATGTGAGGACAGGGGCACCCACCCCCACGACAGCGGAAAATCACATATGACTTTTGACTTCCCAAAACATAACTACTAATAGCCTACTACTGACCCAAACAGGCCTTACAGATGATTGCCACATATTTTGTATATGAACCATAAACCGTATTCTTACAATACAGTAAGCTAGAGAAAAGAAAATGTTCTTAGGAAAACACATGTACAGCATTAAAAAAAAAAGAAAAAAGAAAAAAAGAAAAAAAAGAAAAAGCTGTGCCTAAGTAGACTCCCACAGGTCTGCCCATGTTGTTCAAGGGTAAACTATAATTTAAAAATCAAACTATACAACGGCATTGTAACGGCAAGCCCAACCTTCAAACCCCAATGCAAAGACTACCTCCTGCGAGAAGCCTTCCTAAATCTTTTTCTTCCTAAAGGTTAGCATCAGTTTTTTTTTTTTTTTTCTTTTCCTCTTTGGCCACCCCATTCCCCACCTCCCGTACCGCTCACTGCCTTTGCATTTTTATTTCTAACCCTCCTGTCACAGTGACTGCTCTGCCACACAGAAGTGCCATTTTTTCATGACTGTGGTATAGAAAAGGGAGCTGAGGACTGTTCAAAACAAGCTGTCCCTTTCATTCACAGACTGATCTCAGTTTACAAGCTGTAGATCTTTTAACAGTGAACCGACACTATAGACTAATTTAAAAAGGAGAAATAGCCCTAGCCGGTTTGACTCTGTGGATAGAGCGTCGTCCTGCAGATTCAAGGGTCCCAGGTTTATTCCGGTCAAGGGCATGCACCTTAGTTGCGGGCATATCCCCAGTAGGGGGTGTGCAGGAGGCAGCTGGTCGATGTTTCTCTCTCATTGATGTTTCTAACTCACTCTCTCCTTTCCTCTCTGAAAAAAACAAAAAACAAAAAAATGAAAAGGAGAAATAGTTACAGAATATGCTTTAATGAATAACTAAAAATAACAAAAACTATATTAGGAAAATAAAAGTCTACAAGAATGCATATAAGATCCAATGGTTTAAAGGTTAGGCATTTAAAGAAAATAAAGTCTTTTATAAAAGGAATTGACGTTTCTGTTCAGAAGCACTTATGACAAGTGGAAATAAACATACACAGGACAGACTTTCTAACCAGTATGTATATCTAGCTAGAACATATGCACAACCTTAGACATTACCTTTGTTATGATTTGCATTTGACTTTCCTAGTGGGAAATAAGTATGAGCAAATGAATCCAGAAACATCCCAAAGCATTTGTATGGATGCTATAAAAACACGTATCTTAGGTAGATGTGGATAGGATTTACTCCTTGAGTTAAGAGAGGGTTAGCCAAACATTATGCTAAGTCAGCGATTTTCAACCAGTGTGCTCGGTAATTTCTAGAACACACAATACCGGACTATTTGGTCAGGGGCACTGACCTCTTTCCCCCTTAGACTGTCAAATAAGAGAAAGGACAACAGCGAACACCACAATATCTGTCCAGAGTTAATGATACCAAAACGATACCTATTTTTTTTTCCCCCTCCTGCCAGATTGGCAAAAGCATATTTTTTTGGCATGCCATAGAATTTTAGGAATGAAATGAAAAAGGTGGGAAGACCCGGTGCTAAGTGAAAGATGTCAGTGGCCGAGGACCCCATATTGTAGGACCCCACTTACTCCAGGAACTGTCCGGGAACAGGCAGACCCGGAGAGACCCACAGCGGATCAGGGGCTGCCAGGGGCGGAGGGAAGAGGTGAATGGATATAGGGGTATCTTTTCCAGGGGGTAAAATGGGCTGAGGTTAGTGGCGATGGCTACCAAGGGATGGCTTTGGATGTACATGTTAGCTCCACAAAGCTGTTTAAAAAAAAAAAAAAAGGAAAAACTTCAAAAAACAGACACTTCCAACCGGAGTCACTTTCGGGCTGGCTCCCCCTCCTGTGCCCCTAACTCACTGCTGGTCTTCGGGTGCGTCGCCCCCTTTCCCTGGTCAGGTCTCCTCGCGTGTCGGATGAGATTGCGTTAGAACCCCGAGGTCCTCCCAGCTCCGATCCCCGGGGAGGGGGGCTCAGTCCTGTACCCCGGGTCCTGGGGTCCAGCCCGCTCCACGCGTTGCGTTACCTGTAGGGACCAATGGCCGCTGGGGCTTTCGTGGTGCTGATCACCCTTCTGATTAAGGACGACATGGCTGGCCCCTTCCTCTTCAGGCCCCTCGGAGAGGACAGTCCCGTGCACTCGCACCGCCGCTCGCTCGCGTCTCCCCGCACCGGACGCACCAGCCCCGGGCGGCAATCCCTGCAGACACGCTCCGCCCCCTCCACGGCGGGCTCGCACTGCATCCTGGGAGTTGTAGTCTCCGCGCGGCGCCCGGACCACGTGGAGGCGGCAGCGGCCGCACGGCGCATGTGCGCTCCAGCTCGCCTGCAGCGCACGTCGCTTTGGAGGGGAGACGGGAGCAGGACCTTGTATTGTGACCCGGGGAACCCGGTTTTCCGCCTCAGACCGTCTGGCAGGTAGGTGGCGAGGGGCTCTGGTGTTCTCTGGGGGAGGGAGGGAATAGAGAGAGAGAGAGAGAGAGAGAGAGAGAGAGAGAGAGAGAGAGTGTGTGTGTGTGTGTGTGTGTGTGTGTGTGTGTGTTGGGGGGGAGGACCCCTCGCCCGGCACCAGCGCACTGCGCCCCGCACCCGCGGACCTGGCAGGCCTCCCCTCTCCTCCTCTCCCCCCGCGGGCCGCTCCGGGGCCTGACCTGCTGGCCGCACCGCCTCTGCCCCGGCCTGCAGCTCCCCGGCCTGCAGCGCCCCGGCCTGCAGCTCCCCGGCCTGCAGCGCCCCGGCCTGCAGCGCCCCGGCCTGCAGCGCCCCGGCCTGCAGCTCCCCGAGCCGGTCCTTGGCTGCATTGCCACACTAGGCAGAAGCCCTTTCTGGGATCGGGCTTATACCCCCTCTCCTCATGCCCCAAAGCAGCCATTTTCAACCTTTTCCTCTCAGGGCACACACCAGCTAATGACTAAAAGCCCGTAGCGCGCGCGCACACACATATAATTTTTTTTTTTTTTTTTTTTTTTTGGCGGGCCTGACAAAAATAGGTACCATTTTGATTCATTCATACCGGGCAGCAGCTATTGTTGTGCTGGCAGTTGTCACTTTTTATTGACAATCTAAAGGGAAAAGGTCAGTGCCCCTGACTACATAATCAGGCTTTGCACGTTTTACAAATAATCCTGCGCACGCGGGGTTGAAACGCGGCCCTAAAGCAGGAAGAGGGGTCACACCCAGATGACGCCGAGATCTGGGCGTTTTCCACCGCCCAGCCGCTCCCAGCTGCCTTTCTCTGGTGGTGGTGACTGGGATCTGATTCCACAAAGGCAGGTAGGGTTCTCGATCCAGCAAATGGCCCCAGGGCTGTTTTCTTGGCAGATACTCACGTGCTGTGTCAGAAGGGATATATATATATTTTAATTCTGCTTATAATGCATTATAGCACGCTTCCCTCTTTCCTCTATGCGTGTACGAATGCATTCAGCCAGTAGACATTGAGCCCCTCCTTTGTGCAAGGCTCCCTGCTAGGTGCTGGAGATGCCGCAGTGAAAAAGCAGGTAAGATTCCTACCCTGCTCCTAAAATGCAACGTAAGAAAATCCTGTTTATCCCCCTCATTTTGCCCTATGTCCTGCTCAGGTCTAGGCTTTTCTACTTCTGGCTCAAGAACTTTCAGGGCTTTTTCATTGTTTCATGATGTCCTACAGTACAGTTGTGAAATACGGAAATACATGTTAAAAATTTTTCTTTTGTAACAGAACACATACTGTAGGGCATGTGTTGGTGGAAGTTATAGGTTATAACTGGTAGGTTGTGCTATGAGTGAATTTTATTTCAAAATAGAAAACAGATGCTTGAAACTATTGAGGGGAAACAAGAGGAGGATGTCACGTCTGAGAATGACTGAGTAAATCCACCAGGCTCCGCTAGGTTTTTGTCCTTTATTTTTCACCTTCCAAATTGAATTTTTTTTTTTAGCTGTTACAAGTTAAAGGTGCGGCTGGCCTCATCTCAGTAGTAGAAATGAAAACATCAATAATTTATGTTCAGTTTTTGTAGAGGTTATATCAGAAGAGTGTGTTCTCTATTTCATTGATTCAAGTGGCTTATGTTCACCTAAGAATTTTCATTAAAAGATTAAAAATATATATATATTTTATTGATTTTTTACTGAGAGGAAGGGAGAGGGATAGAGAGTTAGAAACATCGATAAGAAACATCCATCAGCTGCCTCCTGCACACCCCCCACTGGAGATATGCCCACAACCAATGTACATGCCCTTGACCGGAATCGAACCTGGGACCCTTGAGTCCACAGGCAGACGCTCTATCCACTGAGCCAAACTGGCTAGGTTATAAATTTCTGTAGTAAATAAATATCATGGTAACATTTTTATATCAATCCACCTCTAAGAAAGACTTATTATATATTGAGTTATGAATATTATACTTAGTTTTGAACGGACTTCCCTTTCCCCTGTACTAAATGTGTTACTTTGTTTCCAGAAATGTCTAATGCAAAAGAAAGAAAGCATGCTAAGAAGATGAGAAACCAGCCCACCAATGTGACTTTGTCCTCCGGCTTTGTGGCTGACAGAGGGGCGAAACACCTCAATGGAGGCGGGAAGCCTTTCCGAGCTCAAAAGCCAGGTAAGACACACAGTGCCCTCTCCACTCCCGTTTGGAGCGAGTTGCTCTGGGCATTTCGGTGGCCATTCGGCCGACATGTGCAGAGCGGGAAGGGGGGGGAGATTTAAGTTCGCCCAGCAGATGTTCGCCACTGTAATCCTTATTCCTGAGAAGAGTGACATGTTTATTTCTTTTTAAACAAAAAAATTACACTAGATCCTTCTTCCGGAACGTCACGGCAGCAGCCAGCCAGAATGGCCCACTACTCACCCCCGAGGCCTGATGCGAATGAGCAGTCTTCCTCCAAAGTGACGTTTAAAAAGAAGGGAGGATGGAAGGCGGGTCCCGAGGGCGCGTCTCAGGAGATTCCCAAGTACATCACGGGTAGGTGGACGTGAAGAAGTCAGGTTTGATTGCATACGAGCTCTTTTCTAACGCCCTCGCTCTGTCTCGGCCCTGCCTTCCCTCCCTCTCCCCCTCCTGCTCCAAGCTTTTCTCCCCTCCCTTTGGATTTAGGCCTAATTTTCTTCCTTCTTCAATTCCTCTCCTTTTTCTTACCTCTCTTCTTAATAGCCTCTATTTGTGAACTGTTCCACTTAAAATATTTTCTCCACTTTTTTTTTTTTTTAAGTAGAAAATACCATTTATACCCCTCGGCATGGCATTCTCCAAAGATGAAGCCAAATTTAATGCACTTGCAAGGCAACCCAAATCTCTATTTATTTATTTATTATTTTTAAAAATAAATTTTATTGAATTTTTACAGAAAAGGAAGAGAGAGGGATAGAGAGTTAGAAACATCTATGAGAGAGAATCATCGATCAGCTGCCTCCTGCATACCTCCCCCTGGGGCTGTGCCTGCAACCAAGGTACATGCCCTTGACCGGAATTGAACCCGGGACCTTTCAGTCCACAGACCGACGCCCTATCCGCTGAGCAAACCGGTTTCGGCGGTTTTACAATCTTATAATACAGAAATACCCACTAATCAGGGGTGAGGTGGGCGGGTGAATCATAAGCTCACACACCTCAAATCTTTTGTTCTTCGGAAATGTCGCAGGCCGGTGCGGATTCAGGCTGCTTTTTAATGGCTGCTCTTTCCTTCCCCAGCGTCTACCTTCGCTCAGGCCCGAGCTGCGGAGATCAGCGCCATGCTGAAGGCGGTGACTCAGAAGTCCTCCAACTCCCTGGTGTTCCAGACTCTGCCGCGGCACATGCGACGCAGAGCCATGAGCCACAACGTCAAGCGCCTCCCGCGGCGGCTGCAGGAGATCGCGCAGAAGGAGGTGTGCGGTCCGCCTGGTGTAGGGCTTAGGTTCGTTGTTCCTGAGAGAAGATGGGAAGTGTTAACCTAATTGAACTTGTTTAAAATGAAAACCAAAAGCAACAGGCTGACTTTGCATATTTTGTTTTCATGATTTATCCTCCCTCCTGCCTCCTTATCATCTACCAAATTAGCAGATAGTTGTACATTACAGCTATTTTTATTTTTAAAATATATATATATATTTTTATTGATTTTATACAGAGAGGAAGGGAGAGAGATAGAGAGTTAGAAACATCGATGTGGGAGAGTCATCGATCAACTGCCTCTTGCACACCCCCTACTGGGGATGTGCCCGCAACCAAGGTATGTGCCCTTGAGCTGAATCGAACCCGGGTCCCTTACAAGGTACGTGCCCTTGAGCTGAATCGAACCCGGGTCCCTTGAGTCCCCAAGCCGACGCTCTATCCATTGAGCCAAACCGGTTTCGGCTATTTTTATTTTTTAAAACTACTATTTTTTATTTTATTTTATTTTTTATTTTTTTATTTTATTGATTTTGTACAGAGAGGAAGGAAGAGAGATAGAGAGTTAGAAACATCGATGTGAGAGAGTCATCGATCAGCTGCCTCTTGCACACCCCCTACTGGGGATATGCCCGCAACCAAGGTACATGCCCTTGACCAGAATCGAACCCGGGACCTTTCAGTCCCCAAGCCGACGCTCTATCCATTGAGCCAAACCGGTCCCGGCAAAATTACTATTTTTTAATATAGTTTGTTTATTTTTTACAGAGAGGAAGAGAGAGGGATAGAGAATTAGATACATTGATGAGAGAGAATCATCCATCAGCTGCCTCTTGCACAATCCCTACTGGGGATGTGCCCGCAACCAAGGTACATGACTTTGACCGGAATTGAACTCTGGACCTTCCAGTCCGCAGGCCAACGCTCTATCCACTGAGCCAAACCGGTTTCGGCCAGCTGTTTTTAAATACAACAATTGGAACCCTCGCCCCACCCCCTTATAAAACATTTTTATTGATTTTTCAGAGAGAGAGAGAAACATCAACGATGAGAATCATTGATCGGTTGCTTCCTGCACGCCCCCTACTGGGGATTGAGCCCGCTACCTGGGAATGGAACCCTTGATCTCCTGGTGTATAGGTCGATGCTCAACCACTAAGCCATGCCAGCAGGGCATGGAACCCCTTTTAATGGTGTTAAAAAGGTGACATTTCCCTGTCATATTTAAAATATGATACTGACCTTCTTACCAGATAAGCAATTTTAGCTCTGCATTTTGAGCTTAGAGTTGGAAGGTTAAAAAAGAAAAAGAAAAAAAGGGAGCATCGTTGCCTAGCACTTGCCTTTTGCCTTTTTCAATGTTGAAAAATTGAGCTTGAGTTTAAAATTTTTTTCAAGTCTTAATTGTTTTTGGCTTGGACTTTCTGAGATTGTCTAAGCTACCCATGTCTTTATTAGTTGATTCAGAATTTCTTTATTATGTACCTTCTGTGTACCAGTACTCTGTTGGTTGTTGGGTTAGAGTTTATCAAGGTCAAGTCCCTATTTGTAAGGGGCCCATAAACTTAATGAAGAGTTTCTCCCACAAAAGTTTAGCTTGGCTATGGAAGAGATTAGTGAAAACCACACAGGAGCCTTAACTGGTTTGGCTCCCTGGATAGAACGTCGGCCTGCGGACTGACGGGTCCCACGTCAACCAAGGCACATGCCCTTGACCGGAATCGAACCTGGGACCCGTCAGTCCGCAGGTCGACGCTCCATCCACTGAGCCAAACCGGTCTCTGCTCAATAAAATATTTTTAAAAAATTACACAGCAATGTCGTCGTTTCTAGATTTAATGGGAAATTTTATCTGTTTCCCAGTGATAACAGTTAGCATTTACCTATCAGTACCTAACTGACATGAGATGTGTGGTTTTCCCGACTTTTATATTTTTGGTTGTAAATTTTAGACTTAGCTATAATTTTAGAGGTTAAAAAACAATTAAAAAAATAACAAAAAGCTAGTATAGGATGTATTCCCTGTTGCTCTCTAATATACTCTTTTAACTGCCACAATAAGCTTGAGTGACGGTGTTGAACATGTTATAACTAGTCTAATCTCCATAGTCCATGAAGCTTGCCCAGTTAGTAAGGGGTAGGATGTGCTTCCTTGGGTTTGTCCCCCTCTAAAACCTGCACTCCTCCTACTGTCCCCATCTCATCTTCCGTTGGGAAATCACCACGTTAAAACATTTAAGCAAACTGAAGTTAGTTTGAGTTCCTAACGCTTAACTTCATTTTGAAATGGTTGCACGCTGGTTCTGCTTCTCTTGAGACTACAGGCAGAGAAGGCAGTGCATCAGAAGAAAGAGCATTCGAAAAACAAGTGCCACAAAGCTCGCAGATGTCACATCAGCCGGGCGCTGGAGTTCAGCCGCAGACAGAGGAAGAACCGGTGGCTGGAGACGCACATCTGGCACGCCAAACGGTTCCACATGGTCAAGCGGTGGGGCTACTGCCTCGGGGAGAGGCCGACGGTCAAGAGCCACAGGGCCTGCTATCGGGCTATGACAAACCGCTGCCTCCTTCAGGTGTGCTTTCCACCGGGTTTTCTTTTGTTTAAGTTTAGACCGTTTCTGATAGAGACATTAGAATAGTTCGTGGTATGCCAAAGCCCTATCTCAGAGTATTTATTATAAAAATAATTACCGAGCAGGAGCACTTTGCTAGATGCTGGAGATAAAGCGTAAAGGTGCGAGGGGAGACTGGCATGAATCCAACAATCAGCCTAATATGCAGTTGTAAGGGATACGTATAATATGAGCATTATTTATTTATTTATTTATTTTTTTACTAATTTTTTATTTTATTTTATTTTTTTAAAATATATATATATATATGTATATATATATATATTTTAATATTTTATTGATTTTGTACAGAGAGGAAGGGAGAGAGATAGAGAGTTAGAAACATCGATGAGAGAGAGTCATCGATCAGTTGCCTCTTGCACACCCCCTACTGGGGATATGCCCGCAACCAAGGTACATGCCCTCAACCGGAATCGAACCCGGGTCCCTTCAGTCCCCAAGCCGACGCTCTATCCATTGAGCTAAACCGGTTTCGGCTAATTTTTTATTTTAAAGGAAGAGTTTTATTTTCTGTATTATAAAATGCCATATAATTCAATTATTTATAAAGGTCTTAAATGGGTTGAATTTGTTTTCCCAAATTTTCTGTGTGGCAGTTCTACCATGAGCATTCTTTTTTTTTTATTTTTATTTTTTATTAATACATATTTTATTGATTTTTTACAGAGAGGAAGAGAGAGGGATAGATAGTTAGAAACATTGATGAGAGACAATCATCGATCAGCTGCCTCATGTACACACCCCATGGGGGATGTGCCCGCCACCAAGGTACATGCTCTTGACCGGAATCAAACCCGGGACCCTTCAGACCCCAGGCCGACGCTCTATCCACTGAGCCAAACTGGTTTCGGCCCACCATGAGCATCTTAATGGCACAAGAAAGCTGCTCTGTGGAAGTGTTGTTTGAGCAGAGGTCTAAGGAGTACGAGAGTGGGAGAGTGGGGGAGACAGAAGGAAGCCCGTTAGCAAGGAAGAATTGACAGAAATTCTCTGTCGACAAGAAAGAAGAGTCAGAGCAAGGCTGACATTAGGGTGAGGTTAGTTCTAAGGACCGTGCAGGGTTTTGTTGGTCACGCTCGAGATGCATTCAGCCTTCGTTCGGTAAGCAGTCATTGATCAGTAGCAGATACCCGAGAAGCATCGGTGGACCCTGAGCAATGTTCTCTCTCTCTCCCTCTCTCCCTCTCTCCCTCCTCTCTGCAGGATTTATCCTACTACTGTTGTTTGGAGTTGAAGGGCAAAGAGGAAGAAATACTAAAGGCACTTTCTCCAATGTGTAGCATAGACACAGGTAAACTCGTTTCAAATCTGAGTCCTATATCGGTCTGATTGTGGCGGTGCTGTAAGCCTTTGGTAATTTACACGTACATAAAAATGCCTGAGAGTTTTTGTTCTCCATGGGCTGTTCGTTAAAGGAAAGCTCAGGGTGGCTTTTACATCAGTTCTCACTTTGTCAAGTGTCAAGTGAGAAGACCATGATGCTGACGGGGTGAACTGAGGTGGGCAGGAACTGAAGACTGATGAAGCCACTCATTCCATAAAATATGTATTGAGAGCCTCCCGGGTGCCGCTTTGATCCAAGCTGTGACCAGAACCTAGACTTTGCCCCCCGGCCCGGAGAGAGACAATAAGTACTAGTCCAGCTGTCAGGATAGACCATGGCAGCCTCAGCGCTTGGAAACAGTGGGATTTTGCTCTCGTTTCTGCCAGGCTTGACGTTTGCAGCCGTTCACTGCTTGTCTGGAAAGCGCCAGGGGAGCCTCGTGCTGTACCGGGCGCATCAGTACCCCCGCGGCATGCTGGGGCCCGTGTCCTTTCTCTGGAAGGCGGAGAGGACCCCCGGGGACGCCCCCGAGAGCAGGCAGCTGTGGATCTGGCTCCACCCCACCCTGAAACAGGTACTGCCCCCGAGTGTGTTTCCCCACACTTGATCCTGCATTCTTCTTTTTTTTTTTTTAATTTATTGATTTTTTTTTACAGAGAGGAAGAGAGAGGGTTAGAGAATTAGAAACATCGATGAGAGAAAATCATCCATCAGCTGCCTCCTGCACGCCCCCTACTGGGGATGTGCCCACAACCAAGGCACATGCCCTTGACCGGAATTGAACCCGGGACCTTTCAGTCTGCAGGCTGATGCTCTATCCACTGAGCCAAACTGGTTTTGACCAAAACACTATTTTGCTAATGATGAATTTAGTTTTTGTTTATTTATTAGAGACTTAAAATATTCTAATTATTAAAAATATTAAAACAACCTAGCATTTATGAAAAAAAAAAAAAAACGGATATTGGAAGCCTGACTGAACATTTATTACTATTAAGAAGTTATTTGAATTTAGTTTAATTGCGAAGGAATAAAAATGTAATTTTTTAAAGCGGGGGGGGGGGGGGGGGGATAAACTAAACCACATTAAATCTGTAACGTATTTACCTTTTAAACTTCAAAAGTAAGATGTTTACGTACATCCGTAGGATATTTTAGAGGAAATCAAAGCCGGGTGCCAGTGTACGGAACCGGTCACATCAGCTACCTGCCTCCCTGAGCCCCTTCCGACACCCGCCCGAGAGAAAAGCGCAATGCAGCTGCCCGATGAGAAGACTGGCAAGAAAAGAAAGCGGAAAGACGACGGAGAAGACACCGCACCGATTAAAAAGTTTGTTGGGGACGGAACCAGAGACGCCCATCAGCCCCGATCTTGGAGCTCCCCAGCCACCGGCATCGTGATCAGGTACAGGGGGTGGGGGGAGGGCATTCGCTCCGAACGTGTGCTCTGCGGGCTTCTTCTGTGTGTGCCCGCGGCCACCGCCGCTGTACAGAGCGAGGACGTTCCCTGGTAAGACTCTTTCTCTCTCTCAGTGACCTGACGATGGAGATCAACAGGTTCCGCCTGATCGGTCCCCTCTCCCACGCCGTCCTCACCGAGGCCCTGCAAGCTGCCGCCGTCCACACCGTAAGATCCAAGGCGACTGTAACGATAGGTCCCAGTCATGTCTTTCCTCGCACACCTGTGACACCTCACATGCCGTTTGAACATGTTAGGCCCGGGCCTGTAAATGTTTATTTCCCTCTGTATGCTTAGGATCAAGGACTCTGTCATCATCTCTTGGATGGAAAAGTCTAAATGAATGTGATCAGTGAATAGACGTGTTCTTATTGAAGGACGAGTGTTATTCTCGCAGCTTGCGAGTTTGCAGAAGGGCCTCACCCTCTGCTCCATAAACAGGCAACGGAGCCCTTAAAGTCCCCGAGTGTGCGGGGATCAGTATCCCAACCATATCAAGGTTATTATGTCTGACTCGCTGTTTGTCTGGTAAACAGGAGGGAGAGGACACAGAGAACACTCCTCACCGCTGGTGGATTGAAGCCTGTAAGAATCCTGATCGGGTTTCCCTGCACCACAGACAAGAGGCCGTGTTTGACTTGTTGGGAGGTACGCGCAGGGGATGCTGGGTTGTCCTGGGGAAAGAGGGGCTGTGGGAAGAGGGTGAGAAGGTGCCTTCCTGTAATGGTGCTTTTTAACTTTAATTCTTGGTTGTCATATAGCAAGAAAGCAGGTCAGAGAGGGAATAGTGTAAACCCTATTTGAGTTTGCTTAGGAAACAACAAACAAAAGAGATAGTGTTCTAAGTAGCTGGCATTCTGATGTTATGGTAAGTGCATATACCAGGTACTAAACTGAAATTGATTTTTACATAGACCTGAGTGCTTTTTGTGTAAAGCTACTATGAGAGAAACATACAGTTTATGTTGTAAAATATCTATAATGTTAAATGAATGTTTTTCATAAAGAGAAAGTTTCTCTTTATGAATGTTAATTTATTCTCTAAAAGTATCAATGGGGAAAAAGGAAAAACGTGGGTTTTTTTTTCCCCTGTTGTTGTTCATCTTCACCTGAAGATATTTTTTTCCATTGATTTTTAGAGAGAGAGTAGAAGGGAAGGAGGGAGGGAGAAAGAGAAACATCGTTGGGAGAGAGACACATGGACAAGTTGCCTCCTGCATGTGCCCAAACAGGGCTAGTGATCACACCTGCAACCCAGGTACATGCCCCTGACCTGAAATCAAACCGGGAACCCTTCAGTGGTAGGGCTGATGCTCTAACATTTAGCTTTACCGGAAAGTGTGGAAATACGTGTTTTCAAATAAAATAGCCCAACATGAAAGTTTCATTAGAAAAATTTGAAAAATACAAGCAAATATTATACATTGTGAATGCTTCTTTTTAAACTTGTATTTTATTGTTCGTTTGTTTGTTTAAGGAATAACATCACCAGCAGAAATTCCAGCAGGTACTATTCTGGGACTGACAGTTGGGGATCCTCGAATAAATTTGCCTCAAAAGAGGTCCCAAGTTTTGCCCAATCCAGAAAAATGCCAAGGTAAAGTTCATGGAGCATTCCTGGTTTTCTTGCTATTCTGAGCAGTCTAGTCCCAGTTCTGTTAGTGACACCTGTGCAGGAATTACCTGTCTATTTTCAAGGTGATCGTGGTCACCGGAGCTGTGTGTGGGGGTCTCTTTTAGCTGTGCAGCATATAGCCTGGTCCTTATGATCATGTCATTGCTAGTATCTAGTAAAACCCACCTTTCTGTCAAATGGGTTCTCTGAAATGCCTGGCATTTCAGAATTTTCATATGAGGAAGGGAAGTGCACCTGCAGCTGGTCTTGTGCTCATTGGAAGCCTCTGTCTGACCAAACAGATGATCCAGGTTCGAATCCTGGCAAGGCCATCCCAGGTGCTGAAGGTAAGATGTCTCGGTTTAGACTCTACAGTGGAGTGGCCTGAGGGAGTTGTGTGGCTGGAGTGGCAGAGGAAGGGGTGTATCATAGGATTGGCTCACATTTCAGTCTGATCTGGGACATGCATCGGTTGTGATAATGTCTTACTATATCTGCTGTCATTTAAGTATGGTTATTTGGAAGAATCATTAAAATTACCTTGTAAATTTTTGGGGAAAAAAAAACACAACTATAGGTGTGTGTTATAATGACTACAATTTTTTTTTTTTAGCCTCCATGCATAGTTAGGTAGCTTATTAAGGGCTTAGTAAATGATTCTATCAGAATGTCACACGAAAGGGGGATTGAATGAGAGGAATTTGAAGATGTATCGGTAAGTTAGTTAATTATAGAGTCTCAGGCTTTAATCATTGAGGTGTTGCCTCTTTTCTTTTTCAGTAGTAATGTGCTCTGGTGCATCCAGAAAACTGCAGCATCAGCTACACCATTAAATGGTGACTCCCATCATGGCCTTAAAACTGTAATTTAATTCTACTCAGTTTCTCCCTCAAGTTCTTTTTTAAAATAAGGCAGTTTTATATTTAAATGCTTTCTAAGGCTTTTATATTAATACTAGAGGGGTTCCCTCAGCCTGGCCTGCAGGATTGGGCTGAAACCAGCTCTCCGACATCCCCTGAGAGGCCCCGGATTGTGAGAGGGTGCAGGCCAGGCCGAGGAACCCCCACCAGTGCATGATCGGGGCTGGGGAGGGATGTGGGATGTTGGCCAGCCAGAGAGGGACCACAGGAGGGCTCCAGGGCGTGTCTGGCCTGTCTCCCTCAGTGATTGGCCAGACCCCAGAAGCAAGCTAACCTGCCGGTTGGCGTGTCTGCCCCCTCATGGTCAGTGCACATCATAGCAAGTGGTTGAGTAGCCTTCGCATATCCTTAGCACATTATGCTTTGATTGGTTGAACAGCCGACTGGTCGACTGGACACTTAGCATATTAGGCTTTTATTATAGAGGATTATTATAGAGAATGAATCGGTTCAAAGAAAATGAAAGTCTCTCAAACGTTTAATTTCTATCATAAAAGCTTATCATTTTTGTTAGTCATTACTTAACCTACTTTAAGTAATTTCTTTTAAGAATATTGATTGGCATGTGAGCTAGATAAAGAAGCAAACTTTTGAGAGATCCAAGATGGCAGCTGAGTAGGTGGAAGTACACTCCCGTTCTCCCAGGATTAAACTATAATTAGAGCGAACTATAGAAGAATCACCCTGAATAACCAGTTGAAGACTGGCTGGAAAGAATCTTCTAACCATGGATTTGCAGAAGAAGCCACATCAAGGCCGGTAGGAAGGGCAGAGAAACAAAAGAGGGCTCGCCCTGCTCCCACGGGCTCCGGCCGAGGTTCCAGAGGGATATCTCAGCTTTGGGGGCTTCTCCCTGAGAAGCATGAGGTCTAACACCCCCCCTGCCAGGCTCCCCAGCCCACAGCAACAGGGCCCAGAAGAGGTACCCACGTAACATCTGCCTGTGAAAAGTAACGGGGTTTGTGTCCGCCAGAAAGAGATGGGAGTCCATTAGCAGAGATGCGGGCACCCTCTTAAAGGACCAACGCACAAAATGTTGTTTGTAGCCACTCACCCTGTGCTCCAGAGGAGGGGGGGTGGAGTGGACTAGAGTTGTGTGAGGAAAGACTGGAGTTTGTGGCTCTGGGGAGGGAGCCGAAGGGAGAGCCACTGGTGGTCCCTCTGTGGGAGTCCATCTCCCACACCGCAGATGCTTTCCCTGTTCGGTGCAGTGCTCCCCACCTTGTGCAATCAGCCTGTTGGGGAAAGCAACAGCTAAACCTTCTGGGCTCCCTCTCGCCCCACTCTGTGGAGCTTGTGCTCTGAGGAGGAGGATAGCCAGAGGCCCTTTCAGAGCCTGAGTCTCACAGGCAGCCAGCAGGGAAGTGGGTCTTGGGATGTCTTGGGACTTCTGCTCACCCGATCCGGGCCCGGTGATGGTAAAAGCCTGCCTGGGGGCACAGCTTGGTCCTTCCCAGGCCCAACCCTGGCAGCCACAAGTCGTGGATCGCTTACAGTTCCGAACAGGTTGCTCAGGGTACATCTCGGGCAGCGTCTGACCTTGGCCTGCAGCAGAGAGCCCTTCCCGAGAAGCTCGGAACCAACACACCCAGTCAACATGAGGGCAGGATGACAAGCTGCACATCCAAAGGGAGATGTCGGCAGGCACCAAGCCCTGCTGAGGCAAATCTGCTTCGTGTGGTCAGCCCATGCACTGCAGCTTGCGTGCCACGGTCAGGGTTGAGACTCACCGTCAGGCAGCCTGAGGGTCGATCCCATGCACGAACCGGCCAGTGGCAGCCAAGACTCAGTTACAGCAGGAGGGCCCACATCACCCACCCGAGGGATGTGTCTGGAGCTCTCCGCTCCGGTGATCAAGGAGACTGCACCACTGGACCCCACAGGACACCTGCTGCATAAGGACTCCCCCCGAAGACGGAGTCACAGCAGATCTATCTAATACGAACACACAGAGGCAGACATACAGGGAGACCTCCCCTCACCCCTATCAGAATGGCTCTCGTCAATAAATCCACCAACAAGCGCTGGCGAGGCTGTGGAGGAAGGGAAACCTTCGTGCCCTGCTGGTGGGATTGCAAATGGGTGCGGCCACTGTGGAAAGCAGCGTGGAGTCACCGCAGAAAGTAAACATGGAACTGCCTCCTGACCCAGCGAGTCCACACGCACATATATGGAACATGGCTTGTGCTGTCATTGCATATTACCACTTGCCTCTGCGGGGGTTCCTAGACTTCGATTACCTTAGCCATGGAATTAGGTGGTTATTTAAAGGCAATTGTTAAAAAAGAAAGAAAAAAAAAAAAAAGGCAATTGTGTTTATGTCTTCTCCGTTAAAAATAAATGTTCAAAAAGTATGTTTAGGAGCCTTTGCTACTTCACAGGTCATGAAACCAACGGTAAGAATAATTCCTAGTCCAGTACCTTCTTCTAGAGACGTAAGTGCCTATCAGATGTCTTCTTGAAACTGCGGGCCACGTTTAGGCTTCGACCCCCGTTGACCTGAGGGATGTGGTTTGAAGGCTCTTTCTTTTCCCTCTTAGATAATGAGGAAGTTAGACAGCTGCGCCTGGAGGGTGTGCCCGCGGAGTGCGCGCACAGCTTTATTTGGAACCACGCTATCTGTAAGAGTGTCACAGAGAATAAAATGTCGGATCAGGTAACTAATGGCGGAAGGGTGGTTGGTAGAGTCATGAAGACAGGTTGAAGTGCATCACTCGAGAGAACATGAAGGTTACTTTGTACTTCGTAGAGTCCCATCGGCTTCCTTTTCAGACAATTTACTGGTCCCTTATGATATATACTTTGGGGTTGGTTTGTGTTTTTTTGTGTGTGTGTGTGCGCGTGCGCGCGGGCGTGCGCTTTCTGTTCGTGAAGAACCCCTAGAAAAAGTTAACACAAAGACTTTTTCTTGAAATGATAATCTTAGGATTTAAAAACACGTCTTCGATTGTTTTTGTTTTCTCATTAAGCGTTCCCTGTCTTTGTTCATTTATTTGTTCTCCGGTCTTGAGTCACTCAGTGGTGGTGCTCCTGCAGGGATTGTGTCAGATGATGGGGTCGATGACTGTTAGGTGGGCTCCAAGAAGTACAGGCTACACAGGAAGCCCAAAGAAGGGAGACTAAGCCCAGGCTGTAGAAACCAGGGGAAGCGTCCTGGATGGAGGGGCTGGTGTTAGCGCGGACACTCAGGTGGGCTGTTAGAATTAACCAGACCTTCTGGGACAAGAGACCGAGACTGCGGTAGAGAAAGGATTGCCGGAAGTGAGAATGAGCAGGGGTCCGGGCCAGAAACAGGACCGTGTGTTCAGGAATCTTCAAATGAATCAGTAGCTTGGACTCAAAGGTAGGGCAAGAGGTGAAACTGAAGGGGTAATAAGGACAGGAGCATGAAAGACCCTGGGGCATTTTAGGGGTCTGGACTGAAGATACAGGGCACCGTGGCAAGTTTTAAGCTGAGCCATGGCATGACCTTTCTCTCCAGTAGCTCAGTGGAGGAGACTAGGGGTGGATGAGGATTTGAGTGGAGGAGCCGGAGAAAGGATTTGTGATTGGGTGGCCTTAAAAAGAGACCCTGGAAATAGTCCATAATGCAGGGCGTGATGGGGGCCTGAATGTGGCCGTGTGCTGGAGTGCAGGGCCACAAATGTGTATTTATTTATCTGGAGGGTAAAATTGGCAAGACTCAGTGGTTGATTGGAAGGTGGACGGTGAGAAAGGAGCAGACGGTCTGGTTTGGGTTTAGGAGCTCAGCCCAAAGAGCCAGCGCTGTCTCTTACCTGTCCCAGCTGCTTCCCGAGTCCTGGAAAGGCGTTCGGCACACAGCAGGTGCTCAGGGTACATCTGAATGAAAGAGTAAATGAATGGACAGGAGAAGTTTGAATGGGCGAATGCATGAGGGAACGAACAGAGCATGGTGGCATCAGATGGCGGGGAGAGAATGCAGCGGGAAGGGTGAGTTTGATCTCGGATCATGGACTTTGAGGGGCCTCAGGATGTCCAGGAGCAAACGTGCAGGGGAAAGAGGTTTCAATCCCAGGAGCAAAAATGGGGGTGAAAGAGGGAGGTTTCTGGAATGACCAACACGTAGATGGCGGTAGTAACTCAGGAAGGAGAGAGGGAACAGGGACGAAGGAGACTCGGGATCTGACCCTGGCGGGAAGGCATCCGCGAGGCAGCAGTGGGGTGCAGCGTGGGGGCTGCCCTCGGATAGCTTCCCAGTTGAGCGAGCGGTAGGCCCCTCCCTACCCGTTCGTTTCTTCGAACAGCTGGCCAGCGAAGTCTGAGAGAAGGTTAGCCCCTCCCTGCAGTCTACCTGACACATAATTCATAGTGCCGCCATCTTTACTTTTATTTTTTTTTTTAGGGGGTGGGGTGGAGGTGGGGGGCACCTTCTATTTTGAATCCTTAAGACTGGCTGAGAAATTGTCTCAAGAGCCAGAGCACACTTCCACTTGCCCCTCCTGGAGATGTTGTTCATTGTGGGTTTTTTTTTTTTTTTTTTTTTTTTTTTTTTTTTTTTTTAACTTCGTGACAGATCTTAGCCAGAGTCAATGTAGGGACAGAGGATCAAAATCTTAAGATGAACCCTGAGCTAAGAAATGATTAGTGGAATGCATGTGTATTTTATAACTTTGAATCCTCTAGTATATTCTTGCCCACGTTGAAGATAATTTGCCATTTCTACCAAAACACTTGTATAAAGGAAAATCGCCGTAGGAGGGACTCCTTTGTACTTAAAAATATCTCACCTGTATGTTTTTGTTGTGTTTTTTTTTTTTTTTTTTTCCCCTCGCGTGTTACAAGAGCATGTCACGTGTAGGGAGACCAGACCCAGTAGCACCTCCCGGAAGACTGGGGTTGTCTGTCTTGAATGGCTTTCTCCCGCTGTAGGACTTAAACCGGAAGAGAAGTGAGCTGCTGGTGCCCGGGTCACAGCTGGTTTTAGGTGTCCACGAGTCCAAGATCCCGCTGCTTCTGGTCCACCAGCCGGGAAGGGTGACCGGCGACGGCCGACGTGGCTGGGGAAGCGGCTGGGACGTGCTGCTTCCCAAGGGCTGGGGCATGGCTTTCTGGATCCCGCTCGTAAGTGACCTTCTCGTTCCGACCAGGGGTTTCGACATTTAAAATACATTCACAATCCGGACCCAGGGCTGACAGTGCCCCAGCCTTTACGCACCCCTTAGAGATAGAGGGCTATTTTCCTGCCCTCTGAGCTAAATTCCTGATTCAAGATCTTTCCTAAGGCCCCTGGAGCCAGGGTTTTATTAAATAAGAGTTGTGCTGACATATTGTTGTGAATATTTGAGGTTTTAAGGGTGGCCTGATTTTTTAAAATTTTTAATTACTTGCCGAAACCGGTTTGGCTCAGTGGTAGAGCGTCGGTCTGCGGACTGAGGGGTCCCAGGTTCGATTCTGGTCAGGGGCATATACGTTGGTTGCGGGCGCGTCCCCGGTAGGGGGTGTGCAAGAGGCAGCCGGTCGATGTTTCTCTCTCATCGACATTTCTAGCTCTCTATCTCCTTTCCTCTCTGTAAAAAATCAATAAAATATATTAAAAAAAATAAAATAAAACAAAATTTTTAATTACTTATTTTCACATATATGTGTATATATTATTTATTTCAAAGGGGAAGGGAGAGAGAGAGAGAGAGAGAGAGAGAGAGAGAGAGAGAGAAAGAGAGAGAGAGAGAGAAACATCAATGGTGAGAGAGAATCATTGCTGGGCTGCCTCCTGCTCCACACTGGAGATCAAGCCCACAACGCAGGCGTGTGCCCTGACCGAGAATTGAACCGGTGACCTCCAGGTTCAGAGGTTGACACTGAGCAACACAGGCCAGGCAGGAGTGGGGATATTTTAAAACAGTTCTAACGTTTAAATGACGAAATATTACAAGCATACGAAGAAAGAACAGATGTGGCTACAATGAGCCCTGTGTTCCCTGCACCTGCCTCCGCAGCCTTCCCGTCACAGCCCTCCCGGGAAGCAGCCCATGCCCCTCTCCAGTTCCAGAATTGCTGCTCTGGTTTTGGTGCTTGTCACTACCAAGTGTGTTTTTATGGCTCCTTAAAGCATGCTTGTACCCTTCCCACCCCCCACCCCACCCCCAAAAAAAATAACTAGATTCAGCGTGTACCTCACTGTGCATAGGCTTTTGCAGCCTGCTATATTTCCTCAGCCTCGAGATTTTCCCACATTGATTGGTGAGGCTCCATTTCATTTATTTTCACTCGTGTACGGCAGCTCACTCCAGGCTTTTCCCACACTTCGCTTATCCCTTCTTTTTCGGTGCTCATGTAGGTTGTTACCCATCCACGCCCTGCGGACGGGTAAGCACTTCCCCTCGGAGCTGGCCGCTGACAGGGCGTGCTGGGCTTTTCTTCCAGATCTACCGCGGGGCGAGAGTGGGAGGCTTAAAGGAGACCGCGGTGCATTCCCAGTATAAAGGCTCGCCTTCCATCCCGGGGGACTTCCCAGACTGCTCTGCTGGGACTCGCTTTGCCGAAGAGCAAGCCAAGACTCTGCTTGAAAAGTACGCACGGTAAGCAGCTGGGAGTGTCTTCGGGGGAAGAGAAGTGCCTCCTCACATTGGCCAATAACGTTGGCAGCGGCCTCGGTGACTCTTACCTACAACGTGGAGTTTTCGTAGGCTTTTACCGAGACATCAGTCAGGAGACTTGCCCATGTCTGGTGTGTGTAGGCCCGTCCAGATCATGAACCCTTTCCGTGGCCATTTGCTTACGTTGAGGATGGCGGACGCATACACTGTGGACATGAGTCCCCACCCCTAACCCTGCCTCCCTCAAAACGTGAATGGGATTTTTTTTTTTATGCCTGATTATAGAGATAACACATCTGAAATATCAGTGAAACGACGAAAACATAGAAACATGCTTTATACACTGGAGCAGAAAAAGACCACGCGGCGTGACACCATTGTGTAAACATGGGTAAAAATAAAAGAAATAGGGACGTATCTGCTGTACAGACGCATGACGCGTCTCGGCGAGGATGTGTGAGAAACTGGTTTGATGCTGTCTCTGGGGGGGCAGCTGGTCCCTGGGGGTCAAGGGTGAGAGGAAACGCTCACCGCCACACCTGAGGGCTGAGAGCCTGTCCACACGCACGGGTGTCATCTTGCGGCCCTGGGGTTGTGCAGTGGCCACGGGCTGCTTGGTGGACGCGTTATCTATCAGAATAAAAGCCAGAAGAGACAGAAAAGCAGGGCTAGTACAGCTGGTGGTTATTCTTTACCAGAGGCCTGGTGCACGAATTCGTGCACGGGTGGGGTCCCTCGGCCTGGCCGGCAATGGAAGCCTATTGGGGAGCCAGCCAGCCAGGGGGAGGGACCCCGGGAGGTTGGCTGGCCAGGGGGAGGGGCCCTGGTAGGCTAACTGGCTGGCTGGCTGGCTGGCAGGGGGAAGGAACTGTGGGAGGTTGGCCAGCCAGCTGGGGGAGGGGCTGTGGGAGATTGGCCTGCTACCCCCCTGATTGGGGCCAATGGGGGAGCTGGCCAGGCAGGGGCCGTGGGAGATTGGCTGTGGGAGCACACTGACCACCAGAGGGCAGCTCTTGCGTTGAGCATTGGCCCCCTGGTGGTCAGTGCGCATCATAGCGACTGGTCAACTGGTTGTTCGGTTGTAATGGTCGCTTAGGCATAGATAGATAGATAGATAGATTATATTTCTTAGGAAACTTTCTTTTCTAAGTTTATCTTCTTAAATAGAGACACTGCGGTGGCCACACTTATTTTAACCACCCCATCCTAAATTATTCAGAACCGGCTCCCCTCTTTGGTTTCCATTAGACGCCCTCCTGCAAAACGGCCCAACTACGTGAAGCTGGGCACCCTGGCGCCGTTCCGCCCGCCCTGGGAGCAGTTGACGCGAGACTGGGAGTCGAGAGTCCAGGCCCACGCGGAGCTGTCCGGAGCGTCCTCCCCGAGCGGTGGCAGGAGCGACTCCCTCGCAGACCAGGCGCCCCGTGCTCCCACGCCCGGACGAGTTGCCCGGGGCTCTGGCGGAGGGGGCACGGCCCCGCACGGCTCCCGTGAGCCCGAGGGAGCGATGGACACGGAGTGCCCGGCCCAGGCCGGCACGGAGCGGGAGCCGGGCCAGGACGCCCGCGGCCCACACTTCTGCGTTGTCAGGTGAGTGCGCACGGCTTCCCGGTACGTTCTGGGAGCTGGGTCATCTCTTCTAATGCCAGCCAGGCCCCGGGGGAAATCCTAACCATGGCTCCTTAGTGCAAGGCCCACGTGACGTTTTGGACTCAGAGACACCCCAGGGACACGGCTCCATCCCATGAGAGGCTACCTTACAAGCTGATTTGAAAAGCTCTCACCCGTAGACCCAAACCAAGAGAGTTTTTCTGCCAACATGGCTCCGTTAGTCTGCCCGCAAAGCTGGACTTCCGTGAATGTATGTGAGGGGACGGTCCCAGCATGCTCCGAACCAGCACTGTTTGCTGTAAATCACCGAGTTAGGTTTCTTGTCATTCCTTCTGAATGATTTGGATTTGTGGCCGGTTAGGTACCGATTCGTTGTACTTTTGTCATATCTGACGATAAAATGTGTTCTGCTCAGTCCTGCTGCAGGCATTACATTTTGCTTATCAGTCACCCTTTATTCTGTTATTTATTTATTTCTCTGATTTTTATAAGAAGCACTCACCCCACTTGCCTTATTCTTTTTTTTTTTTTCCATGTAACTCCCTTAGAGTTTCTTCTTTAAAAAAAAAAAAATAATAATGTGTATATATATATATATATATATATACACTCATACATACACTTTATTAATCAAATTTCAAACATAGTTTTTGTTGTAAACTTTTAAAAATATATATATATTATTGATTTTTTTTACAGAGAGGAAGAGAGAGGGATAGAGAGTTAGAAACATTGATGAGAGAGAATCATCGATCAGCTGCCTCATGCACACCCCATACTGGGCATGTACCCACAACAAGGTACCCTGTTTCCCTGAAAATAAGACAGTGTCTTATATTAATTTTTTCTCCCAAAGTTGCACTAGGTCCTATTTTCAGGGGATGTCTTATCTTTCCATGCGCTAAGTCTTATTTTCGGAGGATGTCTTATTTTCGAGGAAACACAGTACATGCCCTTGACCGGAATCGAACCTGGGACCTTTCAGTCCGCAGGCCGACGCTCTGTCCACAGCCAAACCGGCTAGGGCCTTTAGAGTTTCTTTTTAATAAAAATATCCGTTCCTCCTTAATCCTCTCACTGTGATTCCAGCCTTCGATTCTATCCACTGTCTTAGTTTTCTCTGCCTTCAGCTTCTTAAACCTTTAGTCTTTCTGTCTCCGAAGAGTAGACACACAAGACACATAAAATATGAATATAAAAAATGTATTGATGTTCATTTTTAATTTCTTAACATCGATGGAGTTTCGATCCTTTCCCACAGAGTATAAACATTAACTCACGCGATGCCTAATCTTCTAACTGCATATTTTCTCCTTGAACAAAACACCTTCCCACGTGTAGGAGCAGAGCAGCGCTGAAGCAGCTGTCCGCCTGGTGCCGGCCCGGCTGTGGGGACGGACGGCCGGCCCGGCGAGCTCCCGGCAGGGGCCAGCAGGAGCTGACCCCCAAGGCCCGCCGCTCCCTCCTGGCCCGCTTCCCCCGGGCCCTGGTGTGGGTCAGCCTGGCCCTGCCCGGCAAGGGCAGCCCCGAGCCGCACGCCACGATCTGCGTCCCGGCCGAGGAGGACCTGCTGCAGCTCCGCCGGGACCGGCTGTACCCCGGGCCCCAGGAGCCCAAGCACAGCGACCCGTTCAAGAGCCAGATCCGCAGGCAGAGGGAGAGGAGGGGCCGGCGGAAGGGCAGGCGCCTCGGGCCCGCTGCCCCGGAGGAGGGCCTGGCCGAGGGGGACCCTGCCGAGGGGGCCCCGGCCCCTGCTCCGACGCTGGGCCTGTGGCCCGGCCCGCTCCCCGACGTGACCGCTCACTGCTCCCGCGTCCTCCTGGGCTTCGTCACCCAGGGCGACTTCTCCATGGCCGCGGGCGGCGGGGAGGCCCTGGGCTTGGTCAGCCTGACGGGGCTGCTGGCCATGCTGTCTGGCCAGGCGGTCGCCGAGCGGGGCCTGGTGCTGCTGCGGCCGCCCGCCTCCCCGCAGTACCGGCTGGCCAGGCTCGCCGTGGAGGTGTGACGGCGGGCCCGTCGGCCAGGTTGGAGAGCTCGGACTGAGCGCCTTCTGTTTTGAAATGTCACGTGAGACTCCTTGGAAATAAAAATTAAAAAAAAAAAAAAATAAAAAATAAAAGGCGGAAACCGGTTTGGCTCAGTGGATAGAACATCAGCCTGCGGACTGAAGGGTCCCAGGTTCGATTCCGGTCAAGGGCATGTACTTTGGTTGCGGGACATCCCCAGTAGGGGGTGTGCAAGAGGCAGCTCATCGATGATTCATCATCGATGTTTCTAACTCTGTCCCTCTCTCTTCCTCTCTGTAAAAAATCAATAAAATATATTAAAAAAAAAAAACAAGACACCTAGATCTTTGTGGAGTTATATTACTTGTTATTTTCCAAGAAAAAAACTTGCCGGTATGAATTGTGCCATGAAAACGGGGAGAATAGTTGATATCAAGTTTTTGTTTCCAATGGAGTAAATATTTGCCCTCTGAACATTCAGCCTGCCAGTCGCTGGGGTTGTGTGGCAATTTGCTCATGAATAAAAGGAAACCCAGGTCCGTGGTTCTCCCAGGTCGGGGTGGGTGTGGCATGGAACCCGGTGGATCTCCGGTTGGCCGTTGGCCGTTGCCCGCAGCCTGTGGGTCAGCCCCGCGGGCCCGGGGGCGGAGCCACCCCGGAAGCCGGTGGATAAAACCCACCCGGTCTCCAGGCCTCCGGACTCGCCCCTCGTCTGCAGCCCGAGCCGGAGGCCGGGCCGGGCCGTGGGGATCCCCCAGCAGGTGTCCCCCCGCGCGCCCTGGCCATGGCGGCGCCGGCCGCGCTGCTGATCCGCGGGGGCCGCGTGGTGAACGCCGAGGCCTCGCAGGCGGCGGACGTGCTGGTGGAGGGCGGCGTGGTGCGGGCGCTGGGCCGCGACCTGCTGCCGCCGGGGGGCGCGCCCGCGGGGCTGCGCGTCCTGGACGCCACGGGCAAGCTGGTCCTGCCCGGCGGCATCGACACGCACACGCACATGCAGTTCCCGTTCATGGGCACGAGGGCCGTGGATGACTTCCTGCAGGGCACCAAGGTACCGACCCGCCCGCTGCCGCGCCCCGATTACCGCCGAGCCCTCGGGGGGCGCAGAGCGGAGCCGCCCCGCGGGCTGAGTGAGCCCCGGGCACAGGGCTGAGCCTCCCCGCGGGCCGAGTGAGCCCGGGCGCAGGGCCGAGTGAACCCGGGGCGCAGAGCGGAGCCGCCCCGAGGGCCGAGTGAGCCCGGGGTGTAGGGCTGAGTGAGCCCCGCGGGCTGAGTGAGCCCGGGGCGCAGGGTTGAGCCTCCCCGCGGGCTGAGCGAGCCCGGGGTGCAGGGCTGAGTGAGCCCGGGGCGCAGGGCTGAGTGAGCCCCGGACTCAGGGCTGAGCCTCCCGCGGGCTGAGTGAGCCCGGGGCGCAGGGTTGAGCCTCCCCGTGGGCTGAGTGAGCCCGGGGCGCAGGGTTGAGCCTCCCCGCGGGCTGAGCGAGCCCGGGGTGCAGGGCTGAGTGAGCCCGGGGCGCAGGGCTGAGTGAGCCCCGGGCTCAGGGCTGAGCCTCCCGCGGGCTGAGTGAGCCCGGGGCGCAGGGTTGAGCCTCCCCGTGGGCTGAGTGAGCCCGGGGCGCAGGGTTGAGCCTCCCCGCGGGCTGAGTGAGCCCGGGGCGCAGGGCTGAGTGAGCCCGGGGCGCAGAGCGGAGCCATCCCTCCAGCAGGTGCAGAGCTGGGAGTGGGTTCCCCACGCTGAGCTCCCGCTGCCTGCCGGGGTCCCCTTCTCTCCCGTCGTGGCTAACCCAGCTGCCTCCTGCGCCTCCATTCGGGTCATTGGACAAGTTTAAGGCCGTCTATTCTCTTGCCCTCATTTCTCTCCGCCATATATCCGTCCTCCTGACCCCGCGTTCGCTGGTGTTCCATGGCAACCCACAAGCCTTCCCTTCCGCCTTGTTGGCATGCCCAGGTGGTGCCCCCGCCCTCCGCGTCCAGCCAGAAGCAAGTGCAAAAGGCTTTCACCCGGTGGCCACGGCCCGACTCTCCTGTAGGCAGCGCGTGGTGAGGGTGAGGGGTCCGGGCGGGCTAGAAGCCAGCTCCAGGAGGAAAATCACAGCCCTGCCCTGGTCGGTTTGTCTCCGTGGATAGAGCGTCGTCCTCTGGGCTAAACGGTGGCAGGCTCGATTCCAGGTCAAGGTCACGTACTTGGGTCTCAGGTTGGGGCACCTGCGGGAGGCAACCAATCCTTGTGTCCCTCTCACGTCCACGTTTTTCTCTCTGCTTCTCCTCCTCCCTTCCGCGCTCTCTCAAAATCAGTGGGAACATATCTTCAGGTGAGGATTCACAAAAAAAGAAAAAAAAAAAAAGGAAAGCCACGTGCCTGACAAGGGATCCCAAAACAAGTACTGTTCCAGGTGTGGCCTCCTAGTCACTCCCACTGGTATCAAGGGGCCTGGTCCCATGTCTTCTCCGTCCTTGCCAAGGGGGACTTTAAATCCAGCCTCAGATTCCTGCTGCTGGAGCCCTGCCCTCTGCGGCTGGTGCGGGGATCAGATCACCTCCCCCAGGGCCCCCAGGTGAGAGAGCTTGGGTTCCTCCAGGCACAAAGGCCTAGAGGCTCAGGTGAAGGAAAAGTAACCTTCAAGCCGAAACCAGTGTGGCTCAGTGGATAGAGCGTCGGCCTGAGGATTGAAAGGTCCCAGGTTCGATTCCAGTCAAGGGCATGTGCCTTAGTTTGCTGGCACATCTCCAGTAGGAGGTGTGCAGGAGGCAGCTGATCGATTTTCTCGATTCTCAGAGATGTTTCTAGCTTTCTATCCCTCTCTCTTCCTCTCTGTAAACATTCAATAAAATATATTTTTAAAAAAGAAAAGAACCTTCAAGGTTTCTCCAAAGCTCCTGAGAGCAGCAAGATCAGGAGCTGAGCAGGGCAGCCATGCTGGAAACTGTATTTCAAACTCCACTCAGCACTTCCCTCCGAAGGCAAGCCCTCGCCCCTTGAAGGTGTGTGTTCCGGGCTGTGGTGAGGGGAATGGCTCCTTCCATGTCGATACCCCGGAGGCCTGAGGTCTCCCTGAGGGCGATGCTTTGAGTGTGGACCAAACAGGGCTGTTGAGTCCAAGCACAGGCTGTTCAGGCTTCCAAAGCCTGGCCAGGAGTGTGTGGACCCTACTGATTTCTAACAGTTTTACTCTCCTCACATCTCCCTGTCGCCGCCCGCCCCGAGCACCCGTGATGGAGCAGAGTATCTGAGAGGAAAAAAGAGTGATGTGACCCGAGAGAAGGGGCCCTGGGACAGGCTGCTCACGTCAGCATTTGGAAGGAAGCCTTCCTCCTGGTTACTAATTGTCAGCCTTCGTCATGGGGGCAATGGACAGTCTTCTGGGAGGCCGGTCATTTGTTTGTCTTGGAAACGGAACGTTTATATTTCCCTTTTGGTAAAAACTGAAGTTTGCCAAAGTTTTTGTGGTTGTTAATGCTCACCGGAGGGTCTTTTTTTTTGCATTGATTTTTAGAGAGAGAGTGGAGGAGAGAGAGAGAGAGAGTAAAAGAAAGAGAGAGAGATGAGACACATCAATGGGTTGCCTCCTACAACCCGGAGTAGGCCCAGGGTCGGGGATCGAACCTGCAGCCTAGGTACACGCCCTTGCCTAGAAATCAAACCCGCAAGCTTTCGGTGAGAGGGCTGACGATCTCACTGCTGAGCAACATCGACCAAGGCTTTGCCACATTTTCGTGAACCGATTTTTACATTTTAGGTAAGATTCTTGTTGTGGGGTCGAACCGCAGAGTCAAAATAAGACCACCGGAGGCTGCTAATTGATTTAAAAAAAAAAAAAAAAAAAAAAAAAGCAGGCAAGGATTTATTGAACTGGCCAGGACGGCCGCGAGAGCATCACACGCAGGTCATGATTGCGCCGTACCAGGTGTAGGCAGTCCTTTTAAAGGTCTAAACCACAAAAATGTTCCTTGGTTCTAAATAATTCTAAAGGCTGGGAACAGCCCGCATGAAATGTAATTCCTACATATTCTGAGACTGAAACTCTTGAAACCTGTTTCTAATGAAAACTAAGAAGTATGCAATTTGTACTCTTTAAATTGGCGGATTTATGAAGATATTTTATAACCTCCAGAAACACAGATTTTTTTATTTGCAAATACATCACATAAGCCCAAAGCAGGCAAACCTATGTTCGGTGATTAATAATTATTTTTTGTAGGCCCTATATTTCATTTTTTAAGTGATTCTTAATGATGGATGTAGAAATCACCCCTCAGGGAGAAATGACCGGGCCGGTGAGCATTAGATACATCAGGAAGAGTTGAATACATATATCCAGATTGCTTTTAATTTCTGCTCCCATGAATGGTATATGATACTTCTCATTTCACTGCATTCTAGCTACCTGTGAATACTAACTTAAAAAAAAAAAAAATCAATGTTGCCGAAACTGGTTTGATTCAGTGGATAGAGCGACGGTCTGCGGATTGAAAGATTCCAGGTTTGATTCCGGTCAGGGGCATGTACTTTGGTTGCGGGCACATCCCCAGTGGGGGATGTGCAGGAGGCAGCTGGACAATGTATCTCTCTCATCGATGTTTCTGGCTCTCTATCTCTCTTCCTTTCTCTCTGTGAAAAATCAATAAAATATATTTTTAAAAAATCAATGTCAATGTAACAGGAAAAAACAGAATTTCTTAATGTTTTTAAGTGAACATTTCTTTGCTTGCAGGTGAGGCTGAGCTTTAAACATTCTTTTTAAAAAATATATATATTTTATTGAGTTTTTACAGCGAGGAAGAGAGAGGGATAGAGAGTTAGAAACAGTGATGAGAGAGCCGAAACTGGTTTGGCTCAATGGATAGAGTGTCGGCTTGGGACTGAAGGGTCCCGGGTTCGATTCCTGTCAAGGGCATGTACCTTGGTTGCGGGCATATCCCCAGTGGGGGGTGTGCAAGAGGCAGCTGATCGATAACTCTCTCTCATCGATGTTTCTAGCTCTCTCTCTCCCTTCCCCTCTGTACAAAATCAATAAAATATATTAAAAAAGAAAAAAGAAAAAAAAAAGATACAGTGATGAGAGAGAACCATCGATCGGCTGCCTCTTGCAACCCCCCCCCCCCCCCCCCCACTGGGGATGTTCCCGCAACAAAGGTACATGCCCTTGACTGGAATCGAACCTGGGACCTTTCAGTCCCCAGGCAGACGCTCTGTCCACTGAGCCAAACCGGTTTCGGCTGAACATTCTTACTGTGCTACTTGTCTACTCCAGCTCTGAGTTTATAATTGTACGATTTCCTTGGGTGGTTCTTTATTGATTACAAAGTTAATCTTTACACTATGAATTAGAAGAAGAAAAAAATATCTCAGATATTAATTTGAAACTGCTCAGTGTTCAGTAGGGCTTTGGCCCTACTGAGGAAGTGATATGAATTGAACCTGACAGAATCTAGGACTCGCCTTCTTTCAGCTTCCCTGCTTGAGGTCTCTACCATTTTTCAGTTCCACCGTTTCCGCCTTCATTTGTCCGGAAGGTGGGTTCCCAATAGCAACCAAAAGTAGTGCAGAGATTAAGGTGTTCACGACGCTGCTGTCAGGGAGGAGAAACTTTTCCTATAACCGCTATTCGGTTTCGCTATTAGGGCTGCAAATTAAACTGACAAAAGAAATTAGCAAGAGAGAAGACTGACTTTTAAAATTCAGGTGCATGCAAGGTTATAGAAAAATGTGACTCCAGGAGGCAGTGAGGATGTGAGGCTTTACATATAATCCTTAGAGGGGAAAGGGTTGGGGGAGAAAGACCTTAGAGGAAACAAATGACTTTTGGGAAAGTCAAATGCGCCTTTAAAAGAATAGATGGGAGATATCATCGTTTTGAAACAAGGGCTGTTCAGGTGTGGCCAATCTTCTCGTCTCTGCTGACGAGCCAGTCTTCCCCAGTGGTGACACTCTGGGCCCTGCCACTGCCATCTCATACAGAGTGGCCCCAAGCTAAGGATTTTCCAAGTGGCTGGTTAGGTTCTGTTACTTCAGTTGACGAATGTTTCTGGGGAACAGTGCCTCTAAGTGTTGGGCACTGTGGTTGGAGTGATTGAGGTGAAAACCGTGGTCTTTGTTCTTGGGGGCAGGCAATTAGAGCATAGGGAGCTGCAGTTTTACCTGGCCTTCTTAATCTACCCAATAAGAGAGTAACATGCTAAGTGACTGTACCTTCGCGACACCCACCAGCTAATCAGGAGTGAGTATGCAAATTAACCCAACAAAGACAGCTGGTTAATTTGCATACACAGGCGCTGAATGGCCGGGGGGCAGGGCAGGACACTTGCGCCACCGCCATGGCGTTCTGCACCACCCCAGGCACTCTGGGCCTCTGGGCAGCGTGGGAAGGCAGAGTGGAAAGGCTGTTCCGGCCAGAGCAAAGCAGAGCCCGCAGCCAGGGGCACAAAGGCACATTCTTGCATGCATCTTCATTTGTGCATCGGGCCACTAGTAAAGTACATGCAGTAACTTGGTCTTGCAGATTTAACTTTGGTGATTGACTATTTTTGAATCAATACTTGAGGTCTTTTGTGAAGGTGCCAGTCACAATGGCTGGCATCACCAAATTGTGTGTGTGTGTGTGTGTGTGTGTGTGTGTGTTTTAAATGTGTTTTTGTTGATTTCAGAGAGGAAGGGAGAGGGAGAGAGAGAGAGAGATAGAAACACCAATGATGATAGAAAATCATTGTTCGGCTGCCTCCTGCACGCCCCCTAGCGAGGATTGAGCCCACAACCCAGGTAGGTACCTTGCCTGGGAATCGAACCATGATCTCCTGGTTCATAGGTTGTTGCCCAACCACTGAGTGACACGGGCTGGGCATCAAATTGTATTCTTAGCAGGTTGTTTTCTAAGTGAGCTGCGTTAATTACCCAGAGCTGACGCCTCGCCCCTTTGGACTCCTCTTTTCACAAGTCAAGTTGCTAATCCAGGAGGACACTGCCTCGTGTCAGTTATGTGCCCTTTGTCCGATAGAGAAGGTGCCTGCTCTAGGGACAGTCGCGAGTCCCTGAACACTACGGGTCTGCTCTCAGCTAAAAAGGGAAGACCTTAAAAATAGCTTACCATGAAATAAACAGCAATCTTCTTAGAAAGAAGAAATTATTCGAGACATAGATGTAGAAATAAGACTATCATTCTGCCGTTTTAAAAGTCTTAGCTAACACTGACTCGGCCATGGGCGAGCATTCAGCCTTCGGATGTGCTCAGAGTCTACATTCTGTGTTAACATTTTCACGGAAGGATCCAGGCACCTACCTGGCCAGGGACAGCATGTTTCAGAGACGTGAACTCTCGCATTCGCATGCCGTCACACCGCCTTTCCACTCAGCTATTGTAAAGGTGAAGCATCATAATCACTCCTACTCGTAGCTTTTTGTGGGACATTCATTGGTCCCTTCCTTTCTTTCTCCCTTAGAGACCTAAAGATTATTAAAGTGATGGGCACCTGACATACCGAGATGAAGCGACATCCGTTGAGTCAGAATCTCGGGGGGCTGGTATAAAAGTTCCCTGGAAGATGCTAGGGTAAAGCTTCACCGGACTAACAGCAGAGGAGGGGCTGGGTGACATCTCTCTCCGAGCAGAGAGGAGCTCAGAGCTCTCCAGAGAGAAGGAGGCGAGGCAGTGTCCCTGGAGTGACTCAATGCAAAGCTGAGGAGCTACCTCAAGTTCAGATCAAGCAGGGGCCCCGTGGAATGTCCAGTAACTGCCTTGTCTTCATCCCAAGGGCAGAGAAAAGCCAGTGCAAGATCGGAAGCAGCCAGCGTGGCTGGGGACAAGGGGACGTTGCAGAGGCTACTAGTCCAGTGGGAAGGCAAAGACGGCCCTGGGCAGTGGGGGTGGCCATGCCGGAGGGGGGAGGGGGCATTGCTGATGGATTGGATTTGGGGGTGTAAGGAAGAAGCAAGGTCAAGGTCCAGGGTGACTCCTCAGTCTGCTTTGCACCGTGGGATGGATGAATATTTCACAGCTGGGGAGGACAGCTGTGCAGAGCTAAATGTGCTTCTGGATTTGAAAGGTCCATGCCCTTGACTGGGAATAAAAACCTGATGCTCTAACCACTGAACCACACCAAGCAGGGCTGCAAATGCAGCTGGCGTCCTCCTCCCTACAGCCCAAAGGCCCGCCGGAACATGGGTGGAGCAAGTCCTGTGGTTGATTTTAGTGAAATCATAGCGATGAGCTTAGAAATGAAAAGGGGAGGGAAAAGTGGGGTGGGGGGGAGAGAGAAAATGCTTCGGATGCTTTCAATAATGATTTATGACCAAATACATTCCTCAATAAAATCTCCTGTTCTGTAAGATTATGACCCCGCGGCTGCTTAGAGTTTATCTCAATTTACGTTCCGTCGCACGTGCGCCTGAGACAGCACAAGCTGTCCTCCCAGCAAAGGAAGCTTTTTAGATCACCGGGAAGGCTGTCAAGGGAGAACCGCCAGGGTAATTAGGAGCCAAAAGCATTGATTTATGAGCCCAGGTTAGAAGAGGTAAATAAGTTTTGTTCGGCGAACTACACATGAAAGGGGAGCGGAGTCAGTCCGCAGTGAAAAGAATTAGGTTTTACACGGAAATATGAAATAAGTGTTCAGCCTTCACTGCTTCTCCCTCCGCGAAGCACTCCTCCTTCCTCAGTGTTCGGTCAAGTCCGAAGGGATATTTCGGGACGTGACTCTAGAAGCAGCTGATATGGAAAGAAACTGAGCAAATATTGAAAGTGTCTAAGGGGGGCTGGCACTGTGGTGTCCTTTTCTTTTTGTTGTTAATCCTCACCCAAGGATACCTTTCCCACTGATTTTTAGAGAGAGTGGGAGGGAGGGAGGAGGAAGTGGAAGTAAAGGAAGGAAGGGTGGGTAAGGGGAGAGATCAACATCGATGTGATTGAATTGGTTGCCTCTTGCATGTGCCTTGACCAGGGCCAGGAATGGAACCTGCAACCTTTTGGTAATTGGGCCAGCACTCTAACCACTGAGCACACCGGCCAGGGCAGGGACCGTGGTGTTCTAACCAACTGGTTTGCTGGATAAAGCCGGTTACCCCATGAGTAAGAAGAGTTGTGTGAAGGCAAAAAAGCTCTAGCATGGGCCCTTCCTTATACATCTTTTAGGGGAATGCGGTTTCATGAGTGATTGTCACACTGATGAACATCCCTGAAGCTTAATACAATTGCATTGCGGCCCCCTTGGTTGGTGTGGTTCAGTGGTTAGAGCACCAGGTCTTTATTCCCAGTCAAGGGCACGCACCTGGGTTGCAGGTTCGATCCCTGGCCCTGGTCAGGCCCGCAGGAGGCGACTAATTTATGTGTCTCTCTCACATTGACTTTCTTTCTTTCTTTTCATATTTGTTGATTTTTTTTTTTTTTTTTTTTTTTTTTTTTTTTTTTTTTTTTTTTTTTTTTACAGAGAGGAAGGGAGAGGGATAGAGAGGTAGAAACATCGATGAGAGAGAAACATCCATCAGCTGCCTCCTGCACACCCCCTACTGGGGATGTGCCTGCAACCAAGGTCCATGCCCTTGACCGGAATCGAACCTGGGACCCTTCAGTCTGCAGGCCGACGTTCTATCCACTGAGCCACACCGGTTTTGGGCCTCTGTGCCTTTTAAAGGCTACACTTCTGTGCCATTTCCCGGGAGCCCGTCAAGCTTGCGAATGCACGTCATTGGGGGCGGGGGGGGGGGGGGCGGAATAAGTGACCTGGGCAGCAGATGGCCGTCTCACCTGCTGGGACCCTCCTGTGCTTCCAGGCGGCGCTGGCGGGCGGCACCACCATGATCATGGACTTTGCCATCCCTCCGAAGGGCAGCTCGCTCCTCGGCGCCTTCGAGACCTGGCGGGGCTGGGCGGACCCCGCCGTCTGCTGTGACTACGGCCTGCACGTGGCCGTGACCTGGTGGAGCGAGCAGGTGAGCCGCTCCCCCCCCCCCCCCCCCGGGCCCGCTTCTGCTCCGTCCCCTCCCCTGGTCACGGCAAAATGTGGGCACGGGCGGGTGGCCGGCGGTCAGAGCCGGAGGGGAGGCCTCTCCTGGCCGGCTCTTTCGCGCCTCTTGAGGTTTGATTCCTGGGACGTTATTGCCAGTCTCTGAAACTGATGTTTAAAAAAATCCTATAGAGGTGATGGCAGAAGTCCTCCATAACAATTCACATTAGCCTTTCCTGATATTTAGTTCGTGACGTACAACTTTAAAAAGGATTGCTCTCCCACCCTGCCCGGTATAGTTCAGTGGTTAGCGCGTCAGCCTGCACAGCGAAGGGTCTGAAGGTTCAATTCCCGGTAAAGGGCACAGGGATGCAGGTACGTGGCTGTGCAGGTTTGATTCCCAGCCCGGTCGGGGAGCAGGCAGAAGGAAAGTAATTGATCTCTCTCTCTCTCTCTCTCTCTCTCTCTCTCTCTCCCTCCCTCTCTCTCTCCTCTCCCATTCTCTCTAAAAATTAATGGAAAAAATATCCAACAAAAAGTACTGGTCTCTCTTTTCCTCAAATTCTTTTTCCCACAGACCTGAACTTTAATTAGAACTGGTTAATTTATGGAAATAATCCAAGGAAATTCCCATTTAAAACTGGATGCCTCCATTCCCATACTTCCCCTCTCTCCCCCCCACCCCCCCCTCCATTCCCATACTTCCCCTCTCTCCCCCCCAACCCCCCCCCCCCTGTGCCCTGCAGAGGGAAAGGAGAAGAGAGGGACGTTTTCCGGCCTCCTCCCAGTGTCCCCTGGCCAGCGCCCTCTCTGCAGGGCTGTGCTGACCTCACCAGCCGGTCAGATCGCATCCCGACGGAGCTGAAACCCGCCTTCCACATCTTCAAAGGCCATGGCAGAAACCACAGCCTGGTTCGGGTTAGGAAACCAGTTTGGAGGGATGCTAACAGGTGTCCATTTCTCCCCATTTAAACTTGTATGTGTACATGAGAAGAAATGTTTACTTGTGGTTCAGCATGTTTTTTCCCACATTGGACTGAACTCAGGAGTCTTTTTGCCAGAAAGGGGTCACGAGGCTGGCTTTATTTGACGTTACCAGGTAACTTGACCCACACTTCACCTTAGAAATTGGGCTTTAGACACCAAGTTAATATAAAACAAGTAATCCATGTTTAACGGGTAGATCAGCAAATATAATAGCAAGGTTCATAGTTCACAGCTAACGTTGATTTTTCTCCAAAAATGCCATTCTAAGCGATGCATCTGATCTCTTTTGCTTTTAGGTCATCCTGCCTTCCTCCCTCCCCTCTTTCCTCTCCTCTTACGTTATTGGGGCAAAAGTGATGATGTTCACCCTCACCAGCGCTTCTCACCCCCTCCATATACCAATGGTTACCTGGTGAATATCGTTAACACACAGATTTTGTTCCACACATGTGTCAGTTTGCTGGGGAGGCTGTCACAGAGAACCACAAACAAAGGGGGATTACACAATAGTTATTTATTTTCTTACAGAGGCCCGGTGCACAAAATTTGTGCACAGGGGTGGGGGTGTCCCTCAGCCCATTCTGGGCCCTCTTACAATCTGAAGACTAGAAGTCTGAGATCAAGGTCTTGGCAGGGTTGGTGTCCTCATATTAGGAGATGGATGCTGCAAATTTATTTCCAAGGTGCAAATGAAGTACTTTGGAGAAAAACTACAAACGCTTCCGCGACTTAAAAGTATCGTCACAGCAGATGGAAGGGAGTCTAATATGGGGAAAGATTAAGGCCTTCATTGCCATGTGTTTTTTCTTTCTTTCTATAATTATACTGTTATTTTACTTACTTCTCCTCCAGATGCAATGTTCTGGAAAGTATTGAAATTATCTTTATTATTATTTTTTTTAAAGTATATTTTATTGATATTTTACAGAGAGGAAAGGAGAGAGATAGAGAGCTAGAAACGTCGATGAGAGAGAAACATCCAACAACTGCCTCTTGCACACCCCCTACTGGGATGTGCCCGCAACCAATGTACATGCCCTTGACCGGAATCGAACCTGGGACCTTTCAGTCCGCAGACCGACGCTCTATCCACTGAGCCAAACTGGTTTCAGCTTGAAATTATCTTTAAATTAAACAGTGACACCCAGCTTGTGTGGCTCAGTGGCTGAGCCTTGGCCCATGAACCAGGAGGCCATCGTTGGATTCCTGGTCAGGGCCCATGCCTGGGTTGTGGGCTTGATTGGATGCAGGAGGGAGCCGATCAATGATTTTTTCCCCTCATTATTGATGTTTCTATCTCTCTCTCTCCTTCTCCCTTCTTCTCTGACATCCATAAAAATATATCTTGAAAAATTAAACAGTGACATTTTCTTGCTGCTGTTTCCTTGTAGGTGAAGGAAGAAATGAAAATCCTTACTCAAGATAAAGGTGTGAACTCCTTCAAGATGTTCATGGCCTATAAGGACGTGTACATGGTGGGGGACGAGGAGCTGTATGCCGCCTTCTCTTGGTGCAAGGAGATCGGGGCGATCGCTCAGGTCCACGCGGAGAACGGAGAGCTGATCGCCCAGGTGAGAGCCGGGTGCCCCCGGAGCTTCCGCAGTGAGCACACCGGCCGCAGTGCCAGGCGGAGACCTGGGCCCCGGGGAGGGAAAGCGGGCAGCGCGCAGGAGGAAACTAATTTCCTGAGGTTTAGAAACACTCGGTTTTGTGTACTGAGTCTCTGCTCTGAATGTGACTCAGGTGTTACATGCATGTGAGTAAGGATTTTTACCTTTGTCAAACCAGCTATTATGTTAGATCTCAAGCATGTGTTACCATAAAAACACAAATATTTTTCTCTGTGTAGCACAGCCTTTTTATTTATTTATTCATTCATTCTTTTTAAAAAAATATTTTATTGATTTTTTTATAGAGAGGAAGGGAGAGGGATAGAGAGTCAGAAACATCCATGAGAGAGAAACATCGATCAGCTGCCTCCTGCACACCCCTTATTGGGGATGTGCCCACAACCAAGGTACATGCCCCCGACCGGAATCGAACCCAGGACCCTTCAGTCCGCAGGCTGACGCTCTATTCACTGAGCCAAACTGGTTTCAGATATTTATTTATTTTTCATTCATTCATTCATTCATTCATTTTCAGTAGCACAGGCTGCTGCTTCAGAATGCCAAAAGTGTGGACGCCGGCTTAATGAGAATGACGTAAGCAGGGTATGAGGTAGCTGTTTCACGTGTCACTCTTTTCAGAAACTGGTATTGAAAAGTGCCCTGGAGGAAATCTAGGTGGCATTTATTTCTTACCTTGGTTTATTATGATTGCCTGCGGGGTGCACGGCCTGCAAGACGTAAAGAGCTGTCTCCTCCCCTTTCTGTTAGCTGGTTTCTCTCTCCACCCCCAGACTCAGTTCTCATTAGAGGCAGTGAGATCAGGCCCGGAGGCCAGGTGGCCGCGGAGGGGAATGGGAGGAGAGCGGGGGCTGTAACCTCAAAGAGACCAGGGTTCACACCGGACTCTCCCACCTCCTACCTGTGGGACACAGGCAGGCATTTCCCCACGCTCGGTCTTGGCTTCCTGCCTTTTTGGAGAGGAAGGTGTAGCAGTTTGGAGAGGGAAATACCTGATCATTCAGCGTGTGTGTGTGTGTGTGGGGGGGGAGGGGGGGCGTAAAGACTGATTCAGGAACAAGTAGAATAAGCTCAGCCAGTGTGGCTCAGTGGTTGAGAATGGACCTTTGAACCCAAAGTCACGGTTCGATTCCCGGTCAGGGCATATGCTTGGGTTTTGGGATGGATTCCAGTAGGGGGCATGCAAGAAGCAGCAGGTCAATGATTCTCTCTCATCATTGATGTTTCTCTCTCTCTCTCTCTCTCTCTCTCTCTCTCTCTCTCTCTCTCTCTGTCTCTCTTGCTCTCCCTTCCTCTCTGAAATCAATAAAAAATATATTTTAAAACTATAATTAACTACATATTATAATACCATGAGTTATTTCAAAAAGCACCTAATGCTGGGGATTAGCATATTTTTTGTTTGTTCTGAACCAATAAAGTCTTAAAGATAAACACTGCCTTTTAAAGAATGATTAGAACTAATCTCCTAACTTTTTCACCTTTTCTATCAAACCAGTTGTGAGCCATGCCTGTGAAAAGGAGCATTTCAGAGCGTTAAATTTGTTTTTACCAAATGCACGCCCATGCACACCCCCCCCACTCCCTAACAGACCTAACTGCCCCCCGGTGTGTTTCTCTCCCACACACCGCGGCGTTTGCCCTTAGGAAGCCCTCCGTGCTCATGTGTGTGTTCCCGCTGCCTCTTTAGGGAGCGAAGAAGATGCTGGCCTTGGGGATCACGGGCCCCGAGGGCCACGAGCTGTGCCGGCCGGAGGCCGTGGAGGCGGAGGCCACTCTGCGGGCCATCACCATCGCCAGCGCCGTCAACTGCCCGCTGTACGTGGTGCACGTGATGAGCCGGTCGGCGGCCAAGGTGATCGCTGATGCCAGGAGAGAGGGTAATGCCCCTGTGACTCTGCCTTCGGGAGAGGGCGAGGGGAACACCTGCACGCTCTCTTTGCTGATGAGAGAGTTGCCTGATGAGTGTCCATAACTGTTCCTTCTCCCTAGCCATCCTTCCTACATGCCTTATTTTATTTTTTATTTAAAAAATATATTTTATTAATTTTTTACAGAGAGGAAGAAAGAGGGATAGAGAGTTAGAAATATCAATGCGAGAGAATCATCGATCAGCTGCCTCTTGCAAACCCCCTACTGGGGATGTGCCCGCAACCAAGGTGCATGCCCTTGACCGGAATCGAGTCTGGGACCTTTCAGTCCTCAGGCCGACACTCTATCCACTGAGCCAAACCAGTTTCGGCCTGCATACCTTTTTAAAAATATATATATTTTATTGATTTTTTTTTTTTTTTTAACGAAGAGGAAGGGAGAGGGATAGAGAGTCAGAAACATCGATGAGAGAGAAACATCGATCAGCTGCTTCCTGCACACCCCCTACTGGGAATGTGCCCGCAACCAAGGTACATGCCTTTGACCGGAATCGAACCTGTAACTCTTGAGTCCGCAGGCAGTGGCTCTATCCACTCATCCAAACCGGTTTCGGCTGTAGTTCAATTTAATGTGTAAGTAGACATCACTTAAAAAAGAGAAAGAGAGAGAAAGAGAGAGAGAGAAAATCTCGTATTTTTAATAAGAATTGGGTAGAGAAATAATCTCAGTCATTTGTCAGTACTATAATAGTTCAGGATGAAACCAAATTAGGTGCATTTTATTCAATGGTTTTAGACTCTCCTGAGACATGCTAGTCATTTCTATCATTTCACTTTCAGAAACCCAAATAATCAGATAGAGTCTTATAAATCATCCTGGCTGTTTGCCTGCTTATTTGTTTAAGCTGAAGCTGGCTGCATTTTTTTTTTTTTAATAATATCGATTTTGAAAACTATAAAAATAGACATGAAAATGCAGGGTGCTCTCCCCCCCCCAATGTAAACACACTTTAATAGCTGATAGGTCAATTTTGAAAAGAAAATGTATTTTAATAAGCACCACCTTTATAATTATTCAGTGTGTGTAAACATTTTGGGGGGGACACCCTATCCATTTTCCAAGATTGCATCTTGCCGAAACCGGTTTGGTTCAATGGATAGAGCGTCTGCTTGGGGACTGAAAGGTCCCAGGTTCGATTCTGGTCAAGGGCATGTACCTTGGTTGCGGGCATATCTCCAGTAGGGGGTGTGCAAGAGGCAGCTGATCGATGACTCTCTCCCATTGATGTTTCTAACTCTCTATCTCTCTCCCTTCCTCTCTATACAAAATCAACAAAATATATTTAAAAAAAAAGATTGCATCTTGTTGCATGAAGGTTCAGTAAGACTTCGTGCCACTGAAATGCATTCTTAAAATGTATTCTGTGATTCTGGCTGGGTGGCTCGGTTGTTTGGACCATCATCCTGTACACCAAAAGGTTGTGGGTTCGATTACCTATCAGGGCTTGTGGGTTTGACCCTGGTCAGGGTGTGTATGGGAAGCAAGGGATCGATGCTTCTCTCTCCCTCTCCCTCTCCCTCTCCCTCTCCCTCTCCCTCTCCCTCTCCCTCTCCCTCTCCCTCTCCCTCTCCCTCTCCCTCTCCCTCTCCCTCTCCCTCTCCCTCTCCCTCTCCCTCTCCCTCTCCCTCTCCCTCTCCCTCTTTCTAAAAAGCAATAAAAACATATCCTTGGGTGAGGATTTAAAAAAAAAAGTAACCCATCCATATTTTGTGTTAAGAATTAATTTGATATCACACAGAAGTTAATAAGATCTTCCTACCAACCATTTCTGGTTGCTCCCCTTCTCTCCTACATATAATGTGATTTCAGTGAAGAGAGCACACTTCCGAAAGAAAATACTGCAGTTTTAAAGTTATAGCCACCAGATGGCACTGTTGCTAACCTTATGAAATGGGTGGTTGTATAATTATTTGCTTTAAGTCCTGTACCATTTCAGCCTGTCAATCAGATCCATAATGTCAGAATATGACTTTTTTTTAAAAAAAACAGTAAATTCAGCAGAAATGTGCGATCTTAACCCTCCAGCAAGCTGCAATTTTGACATATCTGTCAGGAAACAGTTTCTTGATCTTGGGTATTTAATTTGTTCTGAGGTAGAATTCCATCAGGAGCAGAGTAAAAGTCTAGGGAAGGTTTTAGGAATGTAAATCCTAGATAGGAAATGCAAGTATGAACATTTAATTTCATTTTAAATTATTTAAAATTTTCCTTTTTAATACGTAAGACGCAAAATTATATGTTAAAATATATTCTCATCAAAGTGATTGTTTTTATTAATTTACTTCTAGTCTATCTTTATAATTTTTCTCCTGATGAAAAAAAGAATATATGCATATTTTACTTCTCTTTCTTTCCTACGTAAAAGATAAAATACTATACACAGTGTTCTGTACCATAGTTTTTTTCCTACTAAAAATATGTCCTAACAGTCAGCTAATGTGAGGTAGAGAGACTTTGCTTATTCTAATTTACAAGGGCAGACTATGCCACTGTGTTTGTTCAGCTAGTCCTAATGATGGCTCTTTGGGTTGTGTCCAGTCTTTACGTTGCTACAAATAGGACCATGGTGATGGCCTTATGCATATGCTATTTCCATATTTGTGGAAGGTGAATTAGTGTCCTATTGCTGCACTAATTACCACAAACTTAGTGGCTTAGAGCAACACAATCTTATTATCTGACTAGAGGCCCGGTGCACAAAATTCATGCACTCAGGTCGGGGGGAGGTCCCTCATCGTGGCCTGCACCTTCTCACAGTCCAGAAGCCCTCAGGGGATGTCTGACTGATGGGTTAGGCCCATCAGCAGTCGGACATCCTGAGTGCTCCCGCCACTGCCGCTGAGCTTGCTTGGAAAGATTGGAAAGATTCTTTCCAAAAATCGGGACTTTTTTAAAACGCCGTGGGATGTGGGAAAAATTGTTAAAAATCGGGACTGTCCCGCCAAAAGCGGGATGATCTGGTCACCTTACAAGGTAACATACTCTTAGTGTTATATACAATAGCCAAGAATGGAAGCAGCCCAAGTGCCCATCAGTTAATAAGTGGATAAAAAAGCTGTGGTACATTTACAGCCATAAAAAAGAAGGAAACTGATTACCCTTTGCAACAAAATGAACCTGGATATCTTGCTAAGTGAACTAAGCCAATCAGAGAAAGAAAAAATACCGTAGGATTTCACTTATGTGTGGAATCTAATGAACATAATAAACAAACAAAATAGAAGCGGACTCATAGACTCATAGAACAGACTGACAGTTGTCAGAGGGTAGAAGGGTCGGGGGTTAGGTGAAAAGGGTGCAGGGATTAAGCAAAAAATAAAAACAACCAGACACAGACAACAGCATGGTGATGAGCAGAGGGAAAGAGAGGCGGGAGTGGAGGGAGGTGGACAGGCAAAGGCGGATAAATGGGTGGTGAGTGCAGGATGCAGTGTGCGCATAGGTGTTGTTATGGAGTTGTACAGTTGAAACCTGTATGGTTTTATTAACCAACATCACCCCAATAAGTTCAATTTAAAAACGAACAGCAATGAAAAAGAGAACATAAAAAAAATAAAAATACATGCTCTTTACCAAGAAATGAAAAGCGGCACATTTCTTAGTAACATAGTGCATATGTGTGATATGCTAGCGGAATGCTAGGGTTCTAATTCTGGTGAACCACTTACTACCCTAGTGTTTTGGGCACGTTAGTTAGTCTTTTAAAAAATATATATTTAATTAATTATTTATTTTTTTACAGAGAGGAAGGGAGAGGGATAAAGAGTCAGAAACATCAATAAGAGAGAAACATTGATCAGCCGCTTCTTGCACATCCCCTACTGGGGATATGCCCCCAACCAGGGTACATGCCCTTGACCGGAATTGAACCTGGGACCGCCGAGTCCGCAGGCCGACGCTCTATCCACTGAGCCAAACCGGTTAGGGCACTTTAGTTAGTCTTACTGAGCATCAGTTTATTGTCAAACTGCCATGAAGGTCAAATGAGATACATGACCTCCAAGCTGTATTTGCAAACTAGAGAGGGCTATACATATGTTAGCTGTCTTTGCGATGACTTTATTTTTAGCCCGGATCTCACAGAACCCACAATTATGCTGAATTGCCTAGTTTGATTTTCCAATGTATGGCTTATCCAGGCCCCTTGTTTGCTTCCCCCTTTCTATTTCTTGCACGCTGTTCGGTCCTTTGAAAATGTCTAGGACCATTGTGAAGTAGGGGAAGAGCAGTTGGGAATGTTTCCTCTTCCATTTTTCAGTTTTTGGAATTTCCAGATGCTTCATGGAGGGGCTGTTGAAACTAGCCCCGCTAACAAAGAGCTTGTTGGATACGGAAGAGCGGCTGGTCACCTTTTAAAGGGGCTAAGCCCTTCCGAGGAAATGAGCTGTTCTCTGGTTTCAAAACAGTCCTGGCAGACGGCTGGTAGATGCTGACACTTGGGATATTTCCCGAGCGCCATTACGACTGTTGGACTTCTGGAGCAGCGTTCCCCCATCACCTTGATGGCCCAAACGATTGAACAGAACAAGTGACCAGGACCTTTCCTAGATTAGAAAGTGCCCTGGGAACTCCTGAGCTGGCAACTTACAACGTGATTGCTGATCAGTCTCTGAGTGTCTCAATGTTTATGCACCTGCAAGAAGTCCTCTTGGAATAGAAAGGTCTCTTCCTGCCCGCAAATAATGTAGTGTGTCCATCCTGTGTTCTTCCCAGAAAATAGCACTTTAGTGCTTAGTTTATATTAAAAACGATTGCTTGTGCCGAAACTGGTTTGGCTCAGTGGATAGAGCGTCAGCCTGCGGACTGAAGGGTCCCAGGTTCGATTCCGGTCAAGGGCATGTACCTTGGTTGTGGGCACATCCCCAGTAGGGGGTGTGCAAGAGGCAGCTGATCGATGACTCTCTCTCATCGATGTTTCTAATTCTCTATCCCTCTCGGTAAAAATTCAACAAAATCTATTAAAAAAAAAATGATTGCTTGTTTCAGAAAGAGATCCTCATGGAATTCCCCCTTTCCTGGGACTGGGACACTGACAAACTGGAGGGGAGCAGCTAGGTCCCTGGGGGGTCACTTTCATTGACCGAGGTCTGATACTCGGTTATGTAAGAAGCAAAGTTTGCTCGGCTTCACTAAGCCTTGCTTTCCTGGTTTTCCATTACTCCCCGGTTAGCTAGAGGACAGTGGCTAGTTTGAGGGAGAAATGATCTGTGAGATAACAGGGCGCTGCTTTCCAATTTAGTGTGACTCACGCAGCTGGTGGGCATCCGCTGTCGGTGCTCCCTGAGGAAGCCAGTTAATTTCCCGCGTGCATCAGGATTTTAACTAAAATCCTGCCTCTGAGGACCCGGAGCAAGCTCAGTTGGAAGGCCAGCATCTCTTTCCCAGGCACTCTCCTTTGTGGCTGCCTGGGTGTGATCAGGTTAGACGCCAGGGAACCTGTTATTCTGACAAATGCTAATCAGAGATAAGGATTCTGATTTCAAATTCAAATTCCCTGGCGCCATTAGCTTTTCTAACACTGTGTGCTTTTGATGGCCTCATTTGCATGATTTTTAAAATATGCATTTCTGGCTACAATTTTATCTGTGTTCTTTTACTTATTATGTGTTTAGAGGGAGCTTTTTTCCTTAAGGGTGTGAAAAGGTTACCGGTTTATTTGCAGCAGGGATGCACTGGGATTGAACTCCACATGCCCGTAGGATAACTGTCATTGGGGGTAGTATAGCATAGCGGTTAGAACCATTGGAGTCAAAGTGCCTGGACCCAAATTCTACCTCTGCACACCATCGATATCAAGTGTAATGTAATGTAACTATAGAGAAATCATTTAACCCCGTTAACTCTATCCTCCTCTTTTAATAGAGCCAATAGTATTTCCTATGTAGGATTTTGAGATGACTCCATTGGAATGGCACAAGTATCAGCCAGCTTTTGCTAGGTTACACTGCAGTAACAAACGAACCTGAAATAGTCTTGGCTTTACAATGACAGCGATTTTGTTTCCCATTCATGCTCCTGCCCATCATGGGCTGGCTCCGCCTCTGCTCCATGTTCTCTGCCATCTGAGACACAACTCAAGGAGCAGCCTCTGCTGGTCTCACGGCAGATGGGATGGGGGTGGTATTCCCCCAAACTGTGGTTTTAACAACTCCTGCTTGGAAGCAGCACATGTGGCTGCCATTCCTATATAATTGGCCAAAGTAATCCACGTGACCAAGTCTGATATCAGTGAGTGGGTACAACCATTACCATAATATGCAATGCTCATTGGCTGGGACATGGTAAATGCTTCATAAAAAAGCCCAAGTGCCCATCAGCAGATGAGTGGATTAAAAAACTGTGGTATTGCTGAAACCGGTTTGGCTCAGTGGTAGAGTGTTGGTCTGTGGACTGAAAGGTCCCGGGTTCGATTCCGGTCAAGGGCATGTACGTTGGTTGCGGAAATATCCCCGGTAGGGGGTGTGCAAGAGGCAGCTGGTCAATGTTTCTCTCTCATCGACGTTTCTAGCTCTCTATCTCTCTCCCTTCCTCTCTGTAAAAAATCAATAAAATATATTTAAAAAACAAAACAAAAAACAACTGTGGTACATCTATACAATGGAATACTATGCTGCTGTAAAAAAAAGAAGGAATTCTTACCATTTGCAACAACGGGGATGGAGATTGAGAGCATTGTGCTAAGTGAAATAAGCCAGGCGAGAAAGAGAAATATCACATGATCTCACTCATTTGTGGAATATAGTGAACAACATAAATTGATGGAACAAAAACAGATCTAGAGACAGAGAAACCTCAATCAGAATATAAAACCTCAGAGGGAAGGTAGGGGATGGTGGGGGTAAGGGAGAGAGATCAACCAAAGGACTTATATGCATGCATATGAGCCTAATCAATGGACACAGACAACAGGGGGATAGGGCCATGAATGGGAGGTGGGGGAGGGTCATGGGGGAAATAAGGACACATACGTAATACCTTCATCAATAAGGACATTTTAAAAAGTAGTTTTTATTTTTAAATCCAGCTCACTAAAGGTTTAGGATTCATATTATCCTTTTTAAAAAATATATATTTTATTGATTTTGTACAGAGAGGAAGGAAGAGAGATAGAGAGCTAGAAACATCGATGAGAGAGAGTCATCGATCAGCTGCCTCCTACATAACCCTCACTGGGGATATGCCCGCAACCAAGGTACATGCTCTTGACCGGAATCGAACCCGGGTCCCTTCAGTCCCCAAGCCGACGCTCTATCCATTGAGCCAAACTGGTCTCAGCAGGATTCATATTATCCTTTACGAAGATGGGAGAGACCAATATTTATGTGTGTGTCAGTTGGTTTCTTTTAAGAACACATTAAGGTGCTGAATGCTTCCTTTTCTCTTTCCAGGGAAGGTGGTGTATGGAGAGCCCATCGCAGCGAGTCTGGGCACAGATGGCACCCACTACTGGAACAAAGACTGGTGCCACGCAGCTCACTACGTGATGGGGCCTCCCTTGAGACCGGACCCTTCAACTCCTGACTACCTCATGAATCTACTGGCTAAGTAATCACTAAGCAGATGACTGTGACGTGTTTTTGCCCCAATAAGGTGTTTGACAAGTTTCGGGTTCGAGCAGAGATCTTTTCTCACTACCTGGACCTTCCATGGACTTCCCAGTATTCTGTTCTGCTGGACCTGATGGGCTCTTTGGTCTTCCTCTGGAGACCAAAGAGCATGGGCTTAGTTAGGTGATGAAAGAGTGTCAAGATCTGTCTCCTGGACATAGAGACATCAGATCCTTTTTAACTGAAATTGTATTCTCTTCTGATTTTTTTTTTCCTGATCTTTTCTGTCTCTTGTCGCCTAGAGCCAGGCCTCTTCATTATGTTTTGTTTCTATCCTACAGAATAGTCTTGATTCCCCCCCCCCCCATGATGATATAACCTGGGAACCAGATGTACCTGGTGTGTAGGAATAATAGGTTTCAGTCCAGGGCTGAATCACTCCAGGGGGTAAAAAAGCAAAATCTACCTGCGAGTAGGTGATCTCCATGAAAGGCCATCAAAACTGCTTTCAGAGACACTGCTTTCTGGGATACGATGATGTTTTTTTTTTTTTTTTTTTAAAGTATTTAAAAAATATTTTACTGATTTTTCACAAAGAGGAAGGGAGAGGGATAGAGAGCTAGAAACATCGGATGAGAGAAACATCAACCAGCTGCCTCCTGCACACCCCCTACTGGGGATGTGCCTGCAACCAAGGTACATGCCCTTGACTGGAATCGAACCTGGGACCTTTCAGTCCGCAGACCGACGCTCTATCCATTGAGCCAAACTGGTTTCGGCATGATGATGTTTTTGTGAGAATGGCACTGTTCATGGACAGCCTGACACACCCCACACACAGCTTCTCATAGCCATGTTAACAGAGAACATGTCACAGCAGACGATACAAGAGTGCACGAGTCCTTCCCTTTCAGCCTCTTTCCTCCTTCACACTTGTCTGCATCCCCAAGGTGATTCGAAATCAAAGCAGGATTCCCGTCACTGCCGACATCAACGTCCTCAGCCAAGGTCACGTCTCCACGCACCACAATGTTCCCATTCGGCCAGGGGCTGCCTCAGAGGGCCCGCCTCTGTGCCTGGGCATCCCCCTGGTACAGCCTGTGTAGCACGCTCCTCCCCAGGAACGTTGCTTCCATTATTGCCAACGATCCTGAAGCAATTGTCACCAAGCCCATAGAATGATCCATTTCTAGATGAGGAACTGAGCATCAGGCAAACTTGTAATCACAGAACCTGTAAGTGACGGAACTGCGCTCAGAACATATCCTGGCACTTCTCCTAAGAGTATTCTTTGGCCCTAACCAGTTTGGCTCAGTGGATAGAGCCTCAGCCAGCGGACTCAAGGGTCCCAGGTTCGATTCCAGTCAAGGGCATGTATCTTGGTTTGGGCACATCCCCAGCGGGGGGTGTGCAGGAGGCAGCTGATCAATGTTTCTCTCTCATTGATGTTTCTAGCTCTCTCTCTCCCTCTCTGTAAAAAAAAAAAATCAATAATATATATATATATATATATATATATATATATATTTTTTTTTTTTTTTAAAGAGTATTCTCTAAAAGTGCCTCCTACAGCAGGGATGGGAGTGGGTGAATAGGTCCTTGAAAAAGCTACCCTTTTTCCAGTGCAGTTTTTTTTTTTTTTTTTTTTTTTTTTTATTTATTTATTTATTTTTTTTTATTTTGAAGTAATATTTAATATTAACATTGTGAGTTATTATCTTTTGCATATCCTAGTTACACATTTCAAACAAATCATCATTTATATTTACAGTATACAGATGCAAAGCATTAATTTCCCACTAAATCATCACTTTCTTAAAATGGTACATGTGATGTTCTGAAATTAGCTATTAAGCATTCGAAATAGTAGAAAAGAGGTCCTTTCTTCAGTCTTTTTTTTTTTTTTAAATATATATAGATATTTTTGATTTTTTTTTTTGCACCCCCTCCCTCCCTCCCTCACATCCCCTCCCTCCCCAGAGTTTTATGTCCATTGGTTGTACTTATGTGTATGTATAAAAGTCTTTCGGTTGATCTATTATCTCCCCCAGATCTTCCTCCCCTCCCTGCTGTAATTTGACAGTCTGCTTGTTGATATACTATCTTTATATCTATCTTTTGGTTCATCAGTTTATAATGTTCTTTATTATCCACAAATGAGTGAAGTCATGTGGTGTTTTTCTTTCAATGACTGGCTTATTTCACTCAGCATGATGTTCTCCATTTCCATCCAGGTTGCTACAAATGATGAGAATTCCTTCTTTTTTATGGCAGCATAGTATTCCATTGTGTAGATGTACCAAAGTTTTTTGATCCAATCATCTGCTGATGGGCACCTAGGCTGTTTCCAAATTCTAGCTATTGTAGATTGTGCTGCTATGAACATAGGGGTGCATATATCCTTTCTGATTGGTGTTTCTAGTTTCTTGGGATATATTCCTAGGAGTGGGATTACTGGGTCAAATGGGAGTTCCATTTTCAGTTTTTTGAGGAAACTCCACACTGTTCTCCACAGTGGTTGCACCAGTCTGCATTCCCACCAGCAGTGCACGAGGGTTCCCTTTTCTCCACAACCTCGCCAACACCTGTCGTTTGTTGATCTGTTGATGTTGGCCATTCTGACAGGTGTGAGATGGTACCGCATTGTTGTTTTGATTTGCATCTCTCGGATAATTAATGACTTTGAGCATGTTTTCATGTGCCTTTTGGCCTTCCTTCTGTCTTCTTTTGGAAATATTCTATTTAGGTCCATTGCCCATTTTTTAATTGGATCATTCATCTTCCTTTTATTTAGTTGTATAAGCTGTTTGTAGATGTTGGAGATTAAACCTTTATCAGTGGTAACATTTGCAAATATGTTCTCCCACATCGTGGGCTTTCTTGTTGTTTTGTTGATGGTTTCTTTTGCTGTAAGAAAGCTTTTTATTTTGATGTAGTCCCATTTGTTTATTTTCTCTTTAGCTTCCATTGCCCTAGGGGCAGTATCAGTGAAGAAGTTCTTTTGGCATATGTCTGAGATTTTGCTGCCCGTGGATGCTTCTAGTATTTTTATGGTTTCCCGTCTGATGTTTAAGTCCTGTATCCATTTTGAGTTTACTTTTGTGTATGGTGTAAGTTGGTGATCCAGTTTCATTCTCTTGCATGTATCTGTCCAATTTTCCCAACACCATTTATTGAAGAGACTGTCTTGACTCCATTGTATATTCGTGCCTCCTTTGTCAAATATTAATTGAGCATAGTGATTTGGGTTGATATCTGGGTTCTCGATTCGATTCCATTGATCTATATGTCTGTTTTTGTGCCAGTACCAGGCTGTTTTGAGAACAGTGGCTTTGTAATACAGTTTGAAGTCTGGTATTGAGATCCCTCCTACTTTACTCTTCTTTCTCAGGATTGCTGTGGCTATTCGGGGTCTTTTATTGTTCCAAATGAACTTTTGGAGAGTTCTTTCTAGGTCAGTGAAGTATGCCGTTGGTATTTTAATGGGGAGTGCATTGAATCTATAGATTGCTTTAGGAAGTATGGACATTTTGATGATGTTGATTCTACCAATCCATGAACATGGTATGTTCTTCCATCTGTTTACATCTTCCTCTATCTCTTTTTTCAGTGTCGTGTAGTTTTCCGCATATAGGTCCTTTACTTCCTTAGTTAAATTTATTCCTAGATATCTTAATTTTTTTGGTGCGATGGTAAATGGAATTGCTTTTTTAGTCTCTGTTTCTATAAATTCGCTGTTGGTGTATAGAAATGCTATAGATTTCTTGGCGTTAATTTTGTATCCTGCTACATTGCCAAATTCATTTATTAAGCCAATTAGTTTTTTAATGGAGTCTTTTGGGTTTTTTATGTACAATATCATGTCGTCTGCAAATAAGGATAGCTTTACTTCTTCTTTTCCAATTTGGATGCCTTTTATTTCCTCCTCTTGTCTAATTGCAATGGCTAGTACTTCCAGTACTATGTCAAAGAGGAGTGGCGAAAGTGGGCATCCCTGTCTTGTTCCTGTTCTTAGAGGGAATGGTTTTAGTTTTTGCCCATTGAGTATGATGTTGGCTGTGGGTTTATCATATATAGCTTTTATTATGTTGAGGTATGATCCTTGTACTCCCACCTTGTTGAGAGTTTTTATCAGGAAAGGGTGTTGGATTTTATCAAATGCTTTTTCTGCATCAATTGATATGACTATATGATTTTTATCTTTCAACTTGTTTATGTGATGTATCACGTTTATTGATTTGCGGATATTGTACCATCCTTGCATTCCTGGAATAAATCCTACTTGGTCATGGTGTATGATCTTTGTGATGCTCTGCTGGAGCCGATTTGCTAGAATTTTGTTGAGGATTTTGGCATCTATGTTCATGAGGGATATTGGCCTATAATTCTCTTTCATTGAGTTGTCTTTATCTGGTTTTGGTATTAGGGTGATGCTGGCTTCATAGAAGGAGTTTGGAAGTGTTCCTTCCTCTTGGATTTTTTGGAATAATCTGAGGAGGATAGGTTTTAGTTCTTCCTTGAATGTTTGGTAAAACTCTCCTGTGAAGCCATCTGGCCCTGGGCTTTTGTTTGCTGGAAGTTTTTTGATGACTGTTTCAATTTCTTCCCAAGTCACTGGTCTATTTAGATTTTTAGATTCTTCCTGATTGAGTTTTGGAAGGTTGTATTTTTCTAGGAATATGTCCATTTCCTCCAGGTTGTTCAGTTTATTGGAATAGAGCTGTTCGTAGTATTTTGTAACAATTCTTTGTATTTCGGTGGGATCTGTTGTTATTTCACCTCTTTCATTTCTGATTTTGTTTATTTGGGTCCTCTCTCTTTGTTTCTTGGTTAGCCTGGCTAGGGGTCCATCTATCTTGTTTATTCTTTCAAAGAACCAGCTCTTGGTTTTGTTGATCTTATGTATTGTTTCTTTGGTCTCTATGTCATTTATCTGTGCTCTGATTTTTGTTATTTCCTTCCTTCTGCTTACACTGGGCTTTTCTTGTTGCTCTTTTTCTAACTCTTTGAGTTGTAGAGTTAGCTCATTTGTTACCCTTTTTTCTAGTTTTTTGCAATAGGCTTGTAGGGATATGAACTTCCCTCTCAAAACTGCTTTTGCTGTGTCCCATAGATTTTGGATAGTTGTGTTTTCATTGTCATTTGTTTCCAGGATGTTTTTAATTTCTTCCTTGATTTCTCTGGTAACCCAGTCCTTGTTTAATAGCATGCTGTTTAGTCTCCATGTGTTTGATTTCTTTGGATTTTTTTCGTTGTAGTTAATTTCCAGTTTTATGCCACTATGATCTGAGAAGATGCTTGATATGATTTCTATCTTCTTGAATTTGAAGAGACTTTGCCTATGTCCCAAAATGTGGTCTATCTTTGAGAATGTCCCATGTGCGCTTGAGAAGAATGTATATTCTGTGGCTTTGGGGTGGAATGTTCTGAAGATGTCGATTAATTCCATCTGGTCTAGCGAGTCATTTAGGATTGATATTTCTTTGCTGATTTTTTGTTTAGATGACTTGTCAAAGGGTGACAGTGGGGTATTAAGATCTCCTACTATGATTGTATTGCTATTAATCTCTCCCTTAATGTCCTCCAGCAGTTTTTTTAAATATTGGGGTGCTCCCGTATTAGGTGCATATATATTTACCAGGGTTATTTCTTCTTGTTGGATTGCTCCCTTTAGTATTATAAAGTGGCCTTCATTATCTCTTGTTATGTCCTTCACTCTGAGATCTAATTTGTCAGATATAAGTATTGCTACCCCAGCTTTTTTTCCATTTCCATTCGCCTGGAAAACCTTTTTCCATCCCTTCACCCTCAGTCTGTGTGCATCTTTTTTTCTGAGGTGTGTTTCTTGTAGACAACAGATATATGGGTCTTGTTTTCTTATCCAATCTGTTACCCTATGTCTTTTGGTTGGAGCATTTAGTCCATTTACATTTAAAGTTATAATTGATAGATACTTATTTGATGCCATTTTTATTCTATACCCCTGTGTTCCTTCTTTGCTTTCTATTTCTTTAACTTTACAGTAGACCCGTTAGCATTTCTTGCATTGCTGGTTTGGTGGAGATAAATTCCCGTAGTCTGTTTTTGTCTGTGAAGCTCCTGATTTCCCCTTCAATTTTGATTGATAGCCTTGCTGGGTACAGTATTCTTGGATTCAGACCCTTCCTTTGCATGACCTTGTATATTTCATCCCATTCCCTTCTGGCCTGATAAGTTTCTGTGGAGAAATCAGTTGCTAGTCTGATGGGGGTTCCTTTATATGTAACTTTCTGTCTCTCTCTGGCTGCTTTTAAAATTCTTTTTTTGTCGTAGGTGTTTGCCAGCTTAATTATAATGTGTCTAGGGGTTGATTTTCTGGGGTTCATTTTGCTTGGGACTCTGCGAGCATCTTGGATTTGTGTGGGTTTTTTCTTCTCTATCTCAGGAAAGTTTTCTGTCATTATTTCTTGAAATACGTTTTCCATGTCTTCCTCAATTCCCTGTCCTTCTGGAACCCCTATTACTCTAATATTGTTTTGTTTTGTATTGTCCCAGAGTTCCCTTAGACTTTCCTCCTGTTTTTTAATTTTTTTTTCCAGAAGCTGTTCTATTTGGGTATGTTTTTCCATCTTGTCTTCTAGCTCGCTGATGCGATCCTCTGCTTCTTCTAATCTACTCTTGATGCTTTCTATTGAGTTCTTTACAGTAGCGATGTCATTTTTCATTTCTTCTTGGTTCTTCTTCATTTCCTCTTGGTTCTTCTTCATTTCCTCTTGGTTCTTACTCATATTGTCAAATTTGTCTTCCATTCTTTTTAGCCATCTTATGATCATTACTCTGAATTCTTGCTCTGGTAGGTTGCTTCCCTCTATCTCGTTTACTTCCTTTTCTGGTGAGGCCTGCTTTTCTTTCATATGCGGGCTATGTTTTGGTCTCCCCATGATCTAGGATGTCTGGTTGTGTAGTTCTCTCTCTCCTGCTTTGATTTAAAGGCACCAAATACAACACAACCAGGTACAACACACAGGGGACTGAATCGGGATGTGTTTGAAATATTAATAACCACAAATAAGGGTGACTAGAACCCAGCTAGCAAAAACATACAATCAAACAAAAAGCATATCAAATCAATCTTATAAACAAAAGCATACAACTTCAGTATAGTTAACATTCAACATACAACTTCAAAGTGTTAGAGAGAAAGACTTTTGTTTTGTTTTGTTTTTAGGACAACTGCAAGGGAGGTGTGAATGGGCTCGGAGCAAGTAGTTGGAAATTAGATATATAGAAGTAGGGTGAAATTTTAGGAGGGGGTAGACAGAAGGAATGGGGAAAATCTAGAGCAGGAAAGGGTTAAGATAAACGGGGTACCAAAGGAAAATATCGGAAAGAGGGTGAAGGCATAAAGGATAGGTTGAGATAGAATAAAGCGTTGGAGAAGGAAAGATAGATAAAGCCTGTAGAACAGTAATCCTGAAATAAAATAAAAAAAAAAAAAATATATATATATAATCAAATGAAATAAAAATAATAAAAATAAACAAAAAAAATAAGATGAAAAAGGTAACTTAGTAGTAGTACAATGTAGTAATTATAAAGATAAAATCAAGTGAGGAAAAAGAAAAAAAAATAGTTTCTTGAGTAAACGTTGCAAATAATGAAAACAAAAATAAAAAACAAAAATTTAAAAATTTAAAAATTAATAAAATTTAAAAAATTTAAATAAAATTTGCGGTAATGAAGGTCATTCGCTTCCTCTATTGTTATGATCCAGTCCTGATTTTTAGGCAGGTTTTGCTTTGTTTTTATTACACTAGAGTCAATTTGTGAATTAGCCTCTGGGGGCAGTGTTTCTAGGTTGACTTCCCAGACTCTAGAGCCTCTCCAGCTTTTTTTTTTTTTTTAGTCCTCTCTGAAGCAGGAACTATGGAGGGGGGAGGGGGCAGGTCCGAGCAACCTCAATCTCCCGCAACTCTCCTATACCCCTCCGCGCCAGATCCAAATGCGTTGCTCTTTAGATATCTCCCCTGTTAGGAGCCCCGTCCACTTTCACGGGTGACACCCGCCCAACAGCGGGGCTTCTACTTGTAATCGCCGCCCTTGTCCTCCAGCTTCCGCGTTCTGCGCGCAGGCTTTGTTTTCGCCGCGAGTGCGCTCCACCCTCTCCCCGCGAAATCTGACCTTTTCGCCGAGCAGTGGGGCACTCCTGTGAGGCCAGGTGTTCGCGCTGCCTGGGATCCGCGTTCTGGGGGTCACAGTTGCTTGTTGGTCGCTGCGGCTGTTGATATTCAGGCCTCTGACACGATCCTATCTTCCTCTCAAGATGGCGAGGTTTCCCTATCCAAGCCGGCATGTAGCTCCGGGCAGGGACGCAGCCCGCGTGGGTGCTTCCCTGTGAGGGGTACCTCTGTCAGCAGCCCCCCAGCAGTTTCTTCTGGTGTTCGCTGTCTCCCAGCTTGCTAATAAACACTCACAGCTCAAGACCATCAGTTGCTCTCTCTTTCTGCTTCAGGAGAGGGCTCAGAAACCGCCCATCTATTCTTCCGCCATCTTCCCTCCAGCCCTCCAGTGCAGTTTTCTGACCCTCGGTTGGGAAGGAAGTCAGGAGATGAGGGGAGGTTATGGTGGTTTCCTCCTGGCCCGTTCTGCCTACTCATCCCCACCCTCTGGTGGGTTTTCTGTTCCAGCGGTGATCTGACCACCACGGGGACTGACAACTGCACGTTCAACACCTGCCAGAAAGCTCTCGGGAAGGACGATTTTACTAAGATCCCCAACGGGGTGAACGGAGTTGAGGACCGAATGTCAGTCATTTGGGAAAAAGGCGTGGTGAGTTTTGCGTGTTTTGCTTAATGCTTTGACCCAGATGCACTTTGCTTCTATCCACTGAGCCATAATAACCTTCACAGAGAAGTTTTCCTATTGATTTTTTACTCTGGTGGAGACTGGGCCTGCTACCCCATCACCACCCTGCCCCATGCCCCACGAGAATAATGACGTGATTTTCTTCTCTGCGTGGTTTGGTTTAGAGGGTGCCTTGCACCGCTTTGCACACATTAGGAGGTACATTTAGATCGGATGCCAATGTAGTTTTTAAAAAAAATATATATTTTATTGATTTTTTACAGAGAGGAAGAGAGGGATAGAGAGTGAGAAACATCAATGAGAAAGAATCATCGATTAGCTGCCTCTTGCACACCCCCTACTGGGGATGTGCCCGCAACCAAGGTATATGCCCTTGGCTGGAATCGAACCCGGGACCTTTCAGTCCTCAGGCTGACCCTCTATCCACTGAGCCAAACCGGTTTTGGCCAATGTAGATTCTTGAAGTCTTTGAAATGGTATAGCCTTTCTGTTTGATTTCTTATGTTCTTGAATCCCAGCTCATGTGTCGCCAACAAAAATTCTTGGAATGACTGAAAATACATGACCACTTAGTATTCTGTGTATACCTTTGTAGCTATCCTTAAAATACCCTTGGATGTAGTATTTTAAAAGCGGCTGTATGAGGGCACACAAATAATAATTGCAAGTCTAGACAACGATCTTTTACTTTCCCGTCACTTCAAAATTTCTCCCTGAGGATGGAGAAGAACCAGATCGCTAATGGTCCACCTGTTAACCTGTCCGGCCAGCGGACATGTGAAGGTGCACAGGTCAGCAGGGCACACCTGGCTGATGAGGCCCGAGGTCCCCATATTGTGCCATGCTTGCCCACTGCCTGGAGGCCCTCCCTGAGATGGCACGTCAACCATGTCTCAGAAGTCAGAATCCCTTCCAAGCACTACTCGCTCCTCACTCTAATTACTGTCAGTTTTGTTCCCCAAATGCCTTCTCATGTCCATCTTCATGTCTGCCGCTCTAGTCTGAGGCCCGTGGCAGTGGCCTCCACAGAGGGTGTCCTTCCTTCAGTCTTGCTTGCTGCAGTCTGTCTGTACTCCAGTGCGGGAGTGACCCTTCAGAAATGGAGGTCTGATCATGCTTCTTTTCTCTCTGACACCCTTTCATTTTCTTCATTACTTTTAGGATGGTAGTTGAACAATGAGTATACACGTAAGGACCTTTAAAGCAACTCCATAGCCCTATCTTCTAGCAATCATCCTCTTTCTCCCCTCCCCCTGCTCTCCACCCTGATTCTCACCATCCCAGATGACTTATCTTCTCTTTTTCTTTTCTTTGATTTTTCTTGATAACAGTCCAACCTTCCTCTTCAAACGTGTGTTCCTGCAACGAGTATCCTTTATTACAGCAGGTTTTCATAATTAGTTACCTTCCCCAAGTAGGTAAATGGTTTTAAAGTGACTGGATGTTTCTCAGTATGATGCAATCCTCAGTGTGATTTTGTGGAACATTAAGACGATTTACTTATGGTAATATTAGGACATAGTAATTATTTTTAAGACAGGGACCCTTTGATAATGAAATAAACCTAAAGATGCGTTTGCCATATGAATGTCTGTAGGGCTAAACTCTCAACATTAAAAAAAAGTAATTTTAACGGGGCCACAGTCTTCTGATGCCTGTCCACTTAAAAAAAATCCTTTGTACTAGACTGCCCATAATGTTTGGGTCATGTAAAGTTGATTGCACAAAATTAAAATTCTTGGGCTGATTCTTTCTCTTCCAAAAAGTGTTGTCCCCTGACTTAAAAGTCTGCCTTACCTTAACTCTATAACATTCCAGTCTTTATGATGACTCATCCATCTTGGGTCTGCAATACATAAACGTAGTGGGCGGCGGTGGTGAACTTCAAATGAGAATTAGAAATACCATTCCTAACACATAGCTATTGTCTATGTGATTCTGAGAATGGGGGGAAAACAGTGGTTTTGTGTGTGTGTGTGTGTTTTTAAGCTGATGTATTTTTAAAAAAAAAATATATTTTTTTGATTTTTTACAGAGAGGAAGAGAGAGGGATAGAGAGTTAGAAACATCGATGAGAGAGAAACATTGATCAGCTGCCTCTTGCACACCCCCTACTGGGGATGTGCCCGCAACCAATGTACATGCCCTTGACTGGAATCAAACCTGGGACCCCTCAGTCTGCAGGCCGACGCTCTATCCACTGAGCCAAACCGGTTTCGGCGATGTATTTTTGAACAGTTATCTTTGGGCTTCCATATGCTAGCCCATCATTCCCATTGTGGATCATGATGAGGTGTATTTGACTCCACAATATTAAGAATTAGATGCAATTCTATTTGGTTCCAAGAGAGACAAGTTTGATTGCTAGGAGATTCTTGAATCTTGACCATTAGAACAAATGCTTTTTTTTTTTTTTCCCCCTTGAATGGTTTCACAGCACAGTGGCAAGATGGATGAAAACCGATTTGTGGCGGTGACCAGCACGAATGCCGCTAAAATCTTTAACCTCTATCCCAGGAAAGGGAGAATAGCTGTGGGATCCGATGCTGACATTGTGATCTGGGACCCAAAAGCCACGAGGTAAGTCGAAGTCCCTGCGTTCCTGGGGATCCACAATGCAGAAAAAGCACCAACTCACAGAGAAATTCTTCGTTGGCCTTGCTCAGCCATTTCTCCTGGGGTGATTTATTTAGCCATGCGCAGGTATTTTGAGCCTGGGCACAAGATAACGGTTTTGATGTACAAATATCCCTTTGTTTCTTTTGGCAGAGCGGACACAAAAGTTGTGTTGCTTACTATTCCCTGGGAAGGTATAGATGTAGAAAAACCAATATGAGTTTACCGCTTCGGTGCTTGGCAAACGCCCGAATCCACACAAAGGAAAGGTACAGAGCAAGGAAGGAAATAAAAGGCTTGGTTTGAAAAGGGATGAATTGAAAACTCAGAAATAATTACAGCCTTTCTAAAGCTCTCCGATAGAAAAGTTCCAGCACAAAGGATGTCACTTTCCGCTAGCCACGCTTTCCAGCTGAGTTCATCGTGAGCCTATCATTCCCAGTGGACTCCAGCTTTTTGTGTCCAATTTCCAAAATCCTCCGCTAATAATACTGCAGGCCTGGCAGATTCCAGCTCAGGAAAGCACCCAGTAGCAGCCGAAGCTCTGCTACCTTCTCTTTACAGAACACAAACAACACCTGCACCCTGACCTGTGTTTTTTATTATAAACCTTACGGTTGTAATGGAGAAAACGCCAAATGCTGTCACATATTGTGTGTGTGTGTCCATGCATGCGTGCCTGTATAAACACGGATATGATAGGGCCTTCTATCTTATGGTATAGGCTCTTCCTAATGTTCAGCGTGTATTAGGTGTTTTCATTGTGATACGGAAAAGTCTACCGTTTCTTGGGGGTGCCATGATCACAAAGACCCCATTTCAGTTGGGCTCCTGGGCCACCCTCTGGGGAAAAGACCATTGGAGAAGCTACCACGATTGGGCTACCGCTGCCATGAACTTGAAAACGAACCCCAAAGGTCCCCTTAGGAAATGCTAGGGCTTGCATTTTTGAACTTGACACTCTTCCTCTCTCCTCTGAGCACTTGTCCCAACTCAGGGACCAGTTCCTGGTGGATGATTGTAAGTTGCCTTCCGTGAGTGCAGTAAATGGTGGTTTATGGACATAGGATACCCACTAGGCACCACCAGGATCTTTGTCGTTATGCTAACAAGGGAGCCATTGCCCATCTGGGGACGAACTATCTGGTTGTCCAAGGATCTAGGCCCCTCCCCCTGCAAAATAAATGGCAAGTCAAACAAAATGCAGGCAGCTTCTCTATAAAGCTTAGAAGTATGGACCTTGGGGAGACGGTGAAAGAAGGGAGCTGGATTTGGGTCGGGCTGTGATTTGAACCGAGCCTGCTGTGGTCACAACGCTCCTGATGTTTTAAATGTCACTCTGCCGGAGCTATTGTACACGGCAGGGGCCTGCCCAGGGTCATTTCTGGTGCAGTTCAAACAATGTAGGTGGTTCCAAGTAAATAAGACTTTTGAAATAACTTGTGGCTTTGAGGAGTTCGTGAGACTTCATCAGGAAACCTAGAGAATTTTTAAGAGGGATTTGGGGAAAATGGTGTTTTTGAAGCATAACATCTGGGAAAGTCATAATAATGATGAAAATCCTATATAATAAAAGGCTAATGTGCAAATTTGTCCCCTTGACCAGGAGTTCAACCAGGAGTTTGACCAGGGGGTAGGGCTGGCTGGCCAACTGCCCTTGGCCCCTCCCTCCCCCAACCACCACCACCCAGACCCCACCCGTGCACAAATATGTGCTCTGGGCCTAGTTAGTAATAATTTGCATGTGTGACTATTTCAGTGATCTTAAAATGCTTTGCCGATGTAGAATGTGATTTACAACATGGCCACCTTACGGGCATGAGAAAGCTGTAGCACAGCGGGGTCTGGGACAGGGTTGAGATGAGAAGCCTGTGACCCAGTGTCTTCAGCTTTGCAAACTTGTATGCTTGTCGTGAGATCTGGAGCCCTGCTGTCTCCTGACATCAACACAGAGCACTTCATAGCAAACTTGACTGTTCACCGTCCATTTGTTCTCTCTGTCAAGTAGTCCAGTAACCAAAAGCTCTTTTGGGTTTGATTCTATTCTTTATTATTCCTTTTCAAAGGAAAGGGAGAAATAAAAATACCCTGTTGAGTGATGTGACACTGCAGTCTAATTCTTTAAAAAAAAAATAAAATATATATATACACACACACACACACACACACACACACACACACACACACACTTTTATTGACATCGGAGAGAAAGGGAGAGGGAGATAGAAACATCAGAGAGAAAGGGAGAGGGAGATAGAAACATCAGAGAGAAAAGGAGAGGGAGAGGGAGATAGAAACATCAGTCATTGCCTCCTGCACTCCCTGTATTGGGGACCAAGCCCTCAACCTGGGCATGTGCCCTGATGGGGAATTGAACCATGACCTTCACAGGTTGACACTCAACCACTGAGCCACAACAGCTGGGCTCCACTCTAATTCTTTTTTTTCTTCTCTTTTTAATGGAGCTCCCTCAGAGGCCACTCCCTGTGGTCCTTTTAGCCCTGCCCTGGTATCTCCCGCAGCTCCCAGCCTTACTCCCCTTGAATTTTTTTTTTTTTAAGTGAACACATCAAGATGTTATTGTCCTATAATAAAACAAAACACGAAGCTTAGGACTGGGTCACATGACCCTTTCTCTTCTTATCGCCTCCCAGTTCCAAAGGCTCCCATCTCTTCACAGCCAGCGTCCTTAGACCCGCAGTTGGGAATACATTCCAGCCTCAGCACCACCTCCTTTGTAGCTTTAGCCTTTTTTTTTTTTTTTTTATTAGCTTCGTCTGCCCGCCATGGCCACTCTGCCTCCTGCCACGTCGCCCCTCTCCCTGCGCACACAGAGAATCCCAGCGCTTCCTGTGCTGTGTGACTCTGTGGGGTGTGGGGGTCACTCCCCATGTTTGCGAGTGCGCTATCGGCAGGGAAAGGAAGCTCTCCTCCAGGTTTCCATTTCTTTTCTTTTCTTTCTTTTCTTTCTTTCTTTCTTTCTTTTTTTTTTTTTTTAAATATATTTTATTGATCTTTCACAGAGAGGAAGAGAGAGGAATAGAGAGCTAGAAACATCGGTGAGAGAGAAACATTGACCAGTTGCCTCTTGCACACCCCCCATTGGGGACGTGCCCGCAACCAAGGTACATGCCTTGACTGGAATCGAACCCGGGACCTTTCAGTCCGCAAGCTGACGCTCTATCCACTGAGCCAAACCAGTGCCGGCCATTTCTGAGGACACCACCAGCTCAGGTGTGAAGCACCGTCTTCCTTAGACGGCGGGACAGGGAGAAACGCCCTGGGCCTAAGGCTGTGCATCATCCGCCTCCTTTATTTACCACCTAGGCCGCTGCCCGGGGGATATTTATAGGCCGCGATGCTGTCTCCTGGAGTCACGCTTTTCGAGGATGTAAATTTAGACACCTTCTCACAGGAACGAGTTTCAATAACTTCCTTTGTCCCTCCTTCCCTGTTAGCTTGTTTCTGAACAGCACAGGACGATCCAGATGTTGTTTTTAGAAGATCTACACATTCCCTGCTTTATTTCCCCTCTTCTAGTCTAAGAATAACTCATTTAAGGTCAGACGACAAAATGTTTGTGCTTTTCAGTTTCTTTCGATCTCCTTCATCGGTTCTTTGGGATTTCTGCCATGATGCACATTGACGCGTCCATGGATGTGTCTCCTGGGGTGAAGGTGCCTCTGGCTTTTATTATCCGCCTGAGGCTTCTCCATCTGCGTCTGCTTGGTGTACCCACCTGGGTGCAGAGTGAAAACAGGCACAGCGTGTGGTGGGGGTCCCGGCCCCATCAATGCCCAGGCCCAGCCAGGCCTTAGAAGGTCTCTGAATAGCCAGTCTCCTCGGTGAAACGAGATTGCGAATCATGGATGTGCCTACGTTATGTTTCTCTTAGAAGCCATGAGATGCCGAAGCCGGTGTGGCTCAGTGGATAGAGCGTCAGCCTACGGACTGAAGAGTCCTGGATTCGATTCCGGTCAAGGGCATGTACCTTGGTTGTGGGCACATCCCCAGTAGGGGGTGTGCAAGAGGCAGCTGATCGATGATTCTCTCTCATCGATGTTTCTAACTCCCTATCCCTCTCTGTAAAAAGTCAATAAAATATATTGAAAAAAAAAAAAAAAAAAAGAAAGAAGCCATGAGATAATCCGTTTGAAAAGTAAGACAGGGTTACACCAAGACAGGCTCTGTGTACGGCGGCTCCTTTCTGTGACCGGTGTCATTGTCACCGCACATTTTCACTTCTCGGTGTCCTCACTTGCTTTTGCCTGCGGGGACCAGGGAGGCAGGTGAACAGTGAGGGCTGCGTTTCTCTGACCCTCAGGCTCTTTTTAAAAAAAATAAAACTGGAAACTTTTTCGTTTTTCTTTTTTCTTTTCTTTAACTTTTCTTTTTTGGAAAACAATGGAAACAGTATTTTTACTCGGCAGGAAATATTTGCTCGGATTTCTTGGAATGATCCCGTTTCTTGCTTCCCCGACCCTTTCATGTAAGGATGTTCCCTGCACGAGCGTCAGAATCCCCCTCACTGTCGTTCCTCGTCTTTTTCAGTGTGAACATTGCAGGAATCGGAAAGCGGGAGGCCAGGGCCAGTGGAAGAGGAGGCTTCAGAGATTAGTGAATCTGGAAGAATAGATATATGTTTTTAAGATATTTTGTTGATTTTTTTACAGAGAGGAAGACAGAGGGATAGAGAGTTAGAAACATCGATGAGAGAGAGTCATTGATCAGCTGCCTCTTGCACACCCCCTATTGGGGATGTGCCCACAACCAAGGTACATGCCCTTGACCGGAATCGAACCTGGGACCTTCCAGTCAGCAGGCCAATGCTCTATCCACTGCGCCAAACCGGTTTCGGCTGGAAGAATAATTGAACAGGGAGAAAAAGCGTGTTCATCGTGGTTTAGATTAAGAGAGGATGTTGCAGGAATGGCTAATTGCTTATCTAGGTCGATCTCCGCTCC